ATTGAATTATACAACATGAGAAGCAAGGAATGGTTTGTGGTCACTCAAGAACAAAGGAATAATGAATTATTGGCCCCCAAAATGAGGCCTGGTTGGAGATCAGTTTATGTGGTCTTTCCTTTCTCTCACCTTATATTTGTTGATGTGTGGAATGGATGGAAGGAGTGGGAGGATTCCTAAGTTGTCAGGGTTTCTTTCTAACATGCTAAAGAGACAATACTTGTAATTAATGTCTTCTACATGTTTGGTAAGGCATGCATGCATTCACAAGCTATTCCATTCTCACCACCAATACCACTAGCTGTTGATTCATGAAGCATCCAACTACCCTATATTATACACACCAAACAAAAGTTGAAAGCTTCATCTTAACCATTCTTCATATTGACATCAGATGAGAATTACATAGAGTGACTTTGTGAACATTTTTTGTATGCATCTGATCAATCTTCAACTCAATTTTTTTCTTGGAGGACTTTGAGCAGATTGGATCTTGAGTGTGCATGAAGCTTTAGCTTCTAGTTCCTGTTTTGATGGTAATATCCAAAGAGTTTGTAGGTAAACATATGTTCATCAATTGGCAAAAGAAATGTGATGGCAGGAGATAGAGTGTCTTCTTCTCTCCTTTTAAGGAGAATATCCAAAGTCAGCATTCAACCTTATTTCAGATTATGGTTTTAAATGCATGCACAGCATGAAGAGGAACACCATGACAATAATCTATGGTTGATTGTGTTCTTGGCATTTTCTTTTGCTGGCTGGTTTGATATCTCTTTGCAAGTTGCAGAGGAAATAATGGAAGTGGAGGCTCACTTGGTTCTTATGAAGGTTCCCAAGCAACTTTGGTCAAAGATGGAGAAATATGACCTAATGGTATGAGAAGAAGCTTAACTTTGTCTCTATCATTCATTGAATCTTAATGTGCATGCACATTATACAGACAATATGATGGAAGAAGCATATTCCAATATCATCTTACTTAATAATATCATTACAATTTGGTGTTGTGGATGATGGTCCTAATCCAGCTTTAAATATGCCAATCTATATATCTTAATCATGCATGGGATCATGGATGAATCTACTTTTATTTTTTGCTTTCAGACATGCATTATTCTAAGAGACAACCATAGATTTTCTGACATGAGAATATATTTTGTGGAGGATAAGATGACTAGTTGAGGTATTTGCTTGAGTGGATGCAAAAGATGTTAAAGTGATCTCCCATGTCTTTATCTTTTTTGTTTTCTTTTATTTGTATTCATGTCTTTTAGCTCTCACCTTTCTTTCTTCTTTTTTTTTTTTTTTTGGACGGCAAATGACTCGTGAATGTTTACCAACCTCTAATAATTGGTCAGTAATGACAAATAAATAAAGTATAAATTTAGGCATCTTTACTATGGAGATTCTGTGTTATGATATATTTTAGTTGTTTGATTTGAATATAGATTCAAGATTAATCAATTGTTTATTATGAGTATATTTTGTAGTGTTGAATAAAAAATAGATTTGAGATTTTATAAAGTAACAATGGGGCATTTATGATAAGATTCTTTTAATTCTTAAAATAATTTCAACTAAATACCAGTTTTATAAAGTAAAAATTATATTAGAAAGAGTTATTTCTCTCTTTGTATCTATGAGACTTTGATGTCATCGTCAATTATCTTGATGTCATCGTCATAGTGCATGTGAGGTTTAACTAAGTGGTGGGTCATGCCGAAATGTTAGATCGATTCTAATACCAAATGTCATCACCCGAGTTTGATGAGCCAACTGGTCAATAACTCCATTTTGATCTTTCAACTACGGGCCAAAATACTTAAGCGAGAGTTAACATAGTACACTCATCGGACTCATATAAGTCAATCATACACATTATCCATTTCCGATGCGATACTAATGTGATGTTACAATATATGTGATGACGACGATGTTATTAATTTTTATTAAGCATAAAATCAGATTTTTTTATAAATATACAAAATAATCAATAATATTGGGTTGCTCTTAGTTTAATTAATGATATCACCTCAAAGAAAATGTGTAGTTGACCACCTTAAAAGCAAGCTTTATTTGACCCATAAACTATATTAACTACTTAACAACCGTCCGTTGACTACCTTAAGCATGTAAATAACGAGAATAATCTGCCATGAGCAAATAATTAGTGATTAGTGGTCCTTTCAGCTCATGCAGAAAAAGAGAAACACCCCAACGAAAATAACATTTCAACAATTTGCCATCATCCAATAATTTCCCCATGTCTTATTACCGTTTCTCAATATCAACGCCGGTGATGCATCGCGATCTTATGACAACGGCAGGATCGTCATCAGACGGCCTGTCGACGTTACACCCAACCCTTTTTGTCCTCGCAGTGCAATTGACGTGCCACCGGCGCTGCATGCGCACCCCATCCCTCTCCGATTCATACACGCTTTTCCTATGTGCTCTCTACACGCCATTTGACGGATGAAACCTCCATTAATCGACTCTCTTTCTGTGTAGCAAATCGAGACGTGACAGGGAAAGTTCACCTTCCCTTTCCATATGATAAGGCCATTAGACGCCCCATCTTTGCTTCTTGTTTCCTTGCTTGATGAGATCAGCTTCGGCTTGGCGTCGATTTCTCGCGCCGCGCCGTACGGTGCACCGTCGCTTTCTGTGTATCGGACGGCTGCTGAGGCTCCGAAACGCGGCTCGGCGCCGAGCCGCGTCGAGCTCGAGGACTGTCGGTGGCGGCGGGGCCCGCGACGCCCGTCTCTCATGGGTCCCGCGATGGGCTCCGTCCCCCTGCAGTCACAAGGCAGGTAGACGGGGAGCGTCATCCCGGCGGGTCCCGCAGAGCGGGGAAGAAAAGCGTCGTCGCTGCCGCTTTATCGTCGTATCGGTTACGTTCCGGTATAATGAATGATACCGATAGGTGGCGGAAAGCAAACGAAAGGGAAAGGAAGGAAGAGAGAACGGGCGATGCGACAAAGCGTTTCGGTCTCGTTACGAACATAACGGTTTCGTTGCGTAGCGGTGATGTGCGACCCGTTCGGTGTTGCAATTTGCGCTCGAGTTGTTTGTTGTTATGTCGCTCCCGATTTCTTTACCTACTATAAATATTGGCTTCTCTCCCTGCCGTTCTCTTCGCCTCTCCATCAACGCCATCCCGTATCTCCTTCCTTCCTTCGCCTCCTCTTCCCCTCTCTCTCATCTTCTTCTCAAGCAAAGTAGCAAGAATCCGGAGCTTGGAGAAGAAAATCCTTTTCGTTCTTGGTCTAAATTGTAGCTCGTCTTGATGAATTAGAGGGCGGGCGAATCCGTTTGCTGGTTTCGGACATCCGAAGAGCGAGATGCGGTCCAGGACAGGCGGGAGAGCGGCGGCGGCGTTCAGCCCCATTAAGGAGTCGCCGGAGGCGGAGAAGGCGGCGGAGTGGGAGGTCAGGCCGGGTGGGATGTTCGTCCAGAAGCGCGACCCCGACGCCGACGCGGCGGCCGCTCCCGTCCCCACCATCCGCGTCAAGGTCAAGTACGGCGCCGTGTACCACGAGGCCTACGTCAGCTCTCAGGCCACTTTCGGTAAGAACTCGGCCGTTCCCTGGGGACTTTTCTTGTTCTTCTTCCTGCGGCGGTTGGTCCGCGTAAGGTGGTCGACGAATTGATTGAACGAGTGGTGGCCGCGGCGCGCAGGGGAGCTGAAGAAGGCGCTGTCGGCCAGAACGGGGCTGCACCCGCTCGACATGAAGCTGTTGTACAAGGACAAGGAGAGGGAGTCGACGGCGTTCCTGGACCACGCCGGGGTGAAGGACAAGTCGAAGGTGGTGTTGGTGGAAGACCCCACGGCGCAGGCCAAGCGCCTCCTCGAGGTGCGCAAAGCCGACAAGATGGAGAAGGCCACCAAGTCCATCTCCGCCGTCTGCCTCGAGGTCGATCGGCTCGCCTCCAAGGTAATCCCACACCCACCGTTGCGCCCACCCTTCCCTTGCCCCGATCCCAAAGACTAATCTCCATTGATCGATCAGGTGTCGGCGTTGGATGCGATCGTGAGCAAAGGCGGGAGGGTGGCGGAGAACGACGTGACCAATCTCATCGAATCGTTGATGAACGAGCTGATAAAGCTGGACGCCATCGTCGCCGACGGGGATGTCAAGCTGCAGAGGAGAATGCAGGTGGATCAATCATCCCCTTGTCTACTCATTTGATCGGTTGCTGATCGATCCCTTGCGTGGAACAGATCAAGCGAGTGCAGAGGTACGTGGAGACACTGGATGCCATCAAGATCAAGAACGCAATGCCGAGAGCGAATGGTCGTCCACAGGCCAAGGAGCAGCCGCAATGGCCACACCAGAAGAGTCACCAACCGCATCATCATCAACAGCAAATGAGGGACACACAGAATCCGGTTCGACCGCAAATGCAGCAAAAGAAGATGCATTTGCAGCAACCACAGAATGGGATGCCGCAGCAACCGGTGGTGGTGACGACGAACTGGGAAACGTTCGATTCCCTGTTCATGCCATCCACAACCACGCCCACCCCGGCCGCCTCGTCCACTCCCCATGCCAAGCTCGACTGGGAGCTGTTCTGAGCTTCCGACGCATGCATGCATTGCTGCTAATGGTGAGATCATCTTGAAGAACGCTTCCTACTACTAGTCTCTGTGCATAGATCCACGAGAAATAAATGGACTCATAATAGCTGTGCGCTATCTACCATTTGAAGGTAAACAAGGACAGCCCATACTCCTTAGCATTGCTTGTCCACACACCATAGAAGGTCACAAGCTTGATGACAGTGGTTTTGTACTGCTGGCTCTTCTCATTGACTATATATAAGCCCATCATTTAGGCAATGAGAGTAGCCATTGGGACACTGGAAAGTTACTCAGCTGTGCTGCTTTATCTCTCTCTCTCTCCGTGAAAAAGCTTGTTTTTGTGTGTCCAATCAAAATGGAGTTGCTACAAAGTTGATGCTGTGCGTTGGAAGAAGGTAATCTAAGAAATAGTGACCCATTTGGTAACATTACCATCAGGCATTAAATTGCTAGTCCCACACGGCTGTGGTGGGACGCTGCTGACTCTGGCATTTGCTGTACTCCAATGAGGGCTTCCTGAGCCCACGTCTGTCGGACTCTAACTTGCATTATGCACGAGTAGTTCGACGCAGCCGGCGTCTCTCTCTCTCTCTCTCTCTCTCTCTCTCTCTTTCAACAATTGCTGCTATTGTCAATGCTTGCAGCAGTAGGTAATTGACTGACCACCACCAGCTTTTTTGTGCTGGCATGTATCCTAGGGGTGGATGTGCAGCAGTTGCGTATCAGTGATTGCAGCGATGCATTGTCCTGCTGCTACAGTCACATCTTGTGGTAGCTTGATAGGTCAAACACCTACCGAGATGCTCCTCAATGCAATGAATGACTACATTATTCCTGTCACCACTATGTTGGTGGTTGGTTCCTCTTTTATTCTTTTTATTCGAGGAATGCATGGTCGACTATAAACCCAAGTAGTTTAGGTTCATGTGAACTATCATGCACCGTTTTATTCTGATCAGGCCGGCCAAAAGGACTGAATCCACACTGTAGAGCTCGTGAATCCTTTCTTACGGCGACGCATCCTTCGTCGGACAACCGGTGCCGTGAAATGAATGCATCAGAAGTCGTGTTAGTCGCCGACGCCACTTTTGAAGTGGTGGCGTTCTCGTGAATTCGTCATCTTCTCAGGGGTGTAATGTGCCTTCGGCTGCCGCAGTCAGCTGTCGACTTCCCCGATTCACGTGGACCTGCGGCACAGATTTGCTTGTCGTGTGTCGTCCGCCTTTCGCCGCCTTGTCCTGTGTAGGTCACCGCCCTCGCGTCCGTTCACTAAATTGTTCCTGCGGCACATCGCAGCCGTCGGCTCCCCGTTCAAAAATTCCGCACGAGTCCACGTGTGTTGGCCCATCCACCTTGGCTCTTCTGTCTCAGCCGAGCCGCCATTCGGGGAACTGCGTCTTCCCAATGGTTGTAAGTCACACGTGATGATGTAGGGTCCACGAGAACACCAATCACAAGGGCCGTCACGAGTGACCTAGGGTGACGAGCCCGGGGCCTTTCAAATTTGAGCATCATAACGGTCGGATGGCCCATCAACCCGTCCCTGCCGTCCGATCGATCGGCCGCTGCAACGGACGCCATTAAATATCCCGAACGGCAACTCGAACTCTCCTGCCTTCCTCCTCACCGCCCAACACCCTCCTCCTCTTTGATGCGCGTGAGCTCTGTCTTATCGCTTCTGCTTCGGGAGGAGAAGCCACTGCTCTCCGTTATCTTCCTTTTCGCCCTTGCGTCGTTCGCTTTCCTGAAGAACAAGAAGAAGGGCTCGGGCGTCGCCGTCGCCACCGCTTCCGTTTCTGGACGCCACGTTTCTCAGCCACCACAACAGAACGATCCGGTCGAAGGTAGTTTCTTTATCCCCTTCTGTCGAATTCCTCTTAGGTCGAGCAACCTTCGCTCGGACCGTCGCGTTCATGCCGGTTCGCGGCCGACGGCGTGGTGATCGAGTCCCACGGTGGCCCTCGATCTGATGGAGTGTTGCGAAGCTTTTCGACCTTGACGGGGGCATTATCGTCATTTCAAGTCATCAGCTACCTCCTCGCTGGTGAAATGTCGATATGGCCCTCATCGCCGCTCGCACGCGCGCTCGTTGTATCCTACGGGCCTTGCTTCCACTGAGTCCGAGTGGACCGCGTCGGCCTGGCCCTGAACTCGGTCCCTTGACTCGCTTCTTCTCCACTAAGCCTTGCCTCTGCTACTCTTCTTGTTGTTGATGTTGCTTTGCTGACCCCCCACAATCCAACCCAAATCCCACCTTCTTCCCGTTCTTAACGCAATAGTCATCGCGCTTCTCGTCACCTTCTTCTTTCTACTGCTTAGAAGAAAAGGAGGAACAAACAAAGCTCATCCTTTGCCTCTGCTCTTCTCCCAGATCAGCGGGATCAACACCACCAACAGCAGCAGCGAGTCATGGTGGAAGAAACAGAGCACAACACCTCCGACGGCAACGTCGCAGCGATGCCGGTGGAGGACTGGCTCTCCCGCGCCCGCCTCCTCGTCCCCACCGCCCTCGAGAAGGCCCGGTCCGCCAGGGGCTTCGCCGGGCGATGGAAGTCCATCGCCTCCAAGATCGAGCGCGTGCCCACCTGCCTCTCCGACCTCTCCACCCACCCCTGCTTCGCCCGCCACGCCCTCTGCCGCGAGCTGCTCGAGTCCGTCGCCGCCACCCTGTCCGAGGCCGTCGAATTGGCCGACCGCTGCTGCGGCGGTGACGGCGGCAAGCTCCGGATGCAGAGCGACCTCGACGCGCTGTCAGGAAAGCTGGACCTCAATCTCCGTGACTGCGGACTCCTCGTCAAGACCGGCGTCCTCGGCGAGGCAGGCCCCCCTCCGGCCTCCACCCCCGCTCGACCAGGCGAGGCAGAGTTCTCCAGATCGAAACTCTGCGAGCTTCTCGCCCGTCTCCAGATCGGGCACGCCGAGGCGAAGCACCGGGCCTTGGATGGGCTGTTGGAGGCGATGAGGGAGGACGGCAAGAGTGTGATGGCGGTCTTGTGCCGAAGCAACGTCTCCGCCCTCGTACACCTATTGACCGCGTCCTCCCCCAAGGTCCGCGAGAAGGCCGCCACCGCGGTATACTCGCTCACCGAGTCGGAAAACTGCGGGAATCTGCTGGTCTCCGAAGGGGTGCTGCCGCCGCTGATCCGGCTTCTGGAATCCGGTAGCCTAGTGGCCCGAGAGAAGGCGGTGATCTCGCTTCAGAGGTTGTCGATTTCCGCCGACACCGCCCGCTCCATCGCCGGCCACGGTGGGATCCTCCCTCTCATCGAAGTCTGTCAGGTCGGCGACTCCACCTCCCAGTCGGCAGCTGCGGGTGCGCTGAAGAACCTGTCGGCGGTGCCCGAGGTGAGGCAGAGCCTGGCGGACGAGGGAGTCGTCCGTGTCATGATCAACCTGCTCGACTGCAGTGTGGTGTCGGGATCGAAGGCGCACGCCGCCGGGTGTCTGCAGCAGTTAACATCAAGCAACGAGAGCCTGAGGAGGTGGGTGGTGTCGGAGGGAGGGGTTCGGAGCCTCCTGGCGTACATCGACGGACCCTCGCCACAGGAGGCAGCAGTGGGCGCATTGAAGAACCTGGTGTGCTCCGCGCCCATGGATCGTCTGATCTCACTCGGCCTGCTTCCTCGCCTAGTACACGCGCTGAAAGATGGATCCCCGGGGGCACAGCAGGCGGCGGCAGCCGCCATCTGCAAGATCACAAGCTCGGCGGAGGCGAAGAGAACGGTCGGAGAATCCGGTTGCACGCCCTTGCTGGTGAAGATGCTGGAGGCCAAGAGCAACGGCGCGAGGGAAGCGGCGGCACAAGCCATGGCCAGCCTGATGACCCACCCGCACAACGCGAGGGAGGCCAAGAAGGAGGAGAAGGGCGTGGCGAACCTGGTCCGGTTGCTCGACCCCACCCCACAGAACACGGCGAAGAAGTACGCGGTGGCTTGCCTGCTGATCCTGTCGTCCAGCAAGCGGTGCAAGAAGATGATGGTGTCCCACGGAGGGATCGGGTATCTGAAGAAGCTGGCGGAAGTGGATGTTCCAGGAGCGAGGAAGTTGCTCGAGCGACTGCAACGGGGGAGGCTTCGGAGCTTGCTGTTCGCCAGGAGATAGGCTGCGAGCTCCTCTCTCTCTCCATGTTTCAGTGTCTCTCTGAAACATCGCGGACTACCGACTGCAACAAGAAGCCAGTGATAGATTTGTAGGCTCTTCTTTATCGGTTTGATGTCTCTGCTGCTGATGATTTCATGCCTTGTGATTGATTTCGTAGGAACAGTTGAAATGACGAGAAAGATCTCTCCATCCATCTTTTGTCCCCTTCGTACGACCAAAAGCTTGGAATCCAACAATTCCGGTCATGACGGCTGCCAAGGTCAAGAAGCTGTGCTGTATCTTGAGAGTATCTTGCACCACACGTAGGGCCACCGCCCGTTCAACGCAAACAAGCCCGCCGCCAGTATGACCGCCGCTTAGTTTAATGGGCGAGTTAGGGTCGGTTTCGATCACGGAGGAAGTCCACGGTTTCGAGACACTAAAATGTCGAGACAGTGCGGACACAGCTAAGCTCTCCAGGCCACACTCCACATGCATGCACCTGAAATCGTGAGTTCCATGGGAGGATCTTGAATCTTTAATTCATATCATTAATAGGTTTGAATATATCACCATCATCACCATGATAATTATATGGATGTCCTGTCTATCACCCATCATATCCAAATATCATGTATGACCGGCCTCATGAATTCACTCTCATTTATCCCATCCAATTATTAGAGGCTACTGTAAAGGATGAGACACTAAAGAGAGACTGTTCTGATATTATTCTTAAGTTTTTTAACCCCTCCATTTTATTAGGTTTGCTTTTTTTTTCTTCAATAATCATAATCGAATCTAATTATTTTTTGACATGAGTTTTGATTTGAACCTATTGTAAATACCTTATAAAAAATTAGACGTGTGTAGTTTACATTTCTAAGAGATTGTAACAAGGAAAAGTACTTATTTTATGATAAAAGACAGGTCAAACGAGAGATGTATGCCGTTGGATCGATAGAAATAGATGTGGAGAGATGACAGTGTGACCATCTCCGTCTCGTTTAGAAAGAAAGAAACAGGTAAGGGAGACACACCAAGTGACGGAGGAAGAAGAGGTGGAACGGAACCTCACAGGCTACAAGATCCATTCAGCAGTTACGTACGACCTAGCGATCTTTTTCTTGATTTGTTTTTTCGTTCAAATATTGATTGTTGACCTCTTGACTGCATTTTAGGTGCTTTAACCATCTGCATACCTCCTTGGAGATTGAATATGTCACCATTTTTCTCTTTTAGGAAATTGTAAAACTTGCAACTTTTCACTTATAAGTTGTGGCTATGAGTGGCTAATTTCATATTACCTTTTTATTAAACTATTTAGTACCATGATCTTTATATTTTAAAAAGTTATAATGACACATATATAATTACAAAAGCAAAACATCTAGATTCATTTATACTAACGACACCGGTTTTATCAACAAAAACATAAAAATAAAAAAATAAAAAAATAATAATTTTAATATTCTAATTCTTTGTGACGAACGATATCGGTGCTGATGGTATCGTTAGGGAGCCACGGATGACTATTGTGAATGAGAAGAGCGACGACGAGAGATGAAAATCGTTTTGTATCTATATCGACGTCGACGTAATTGTCGAGTGATGCTACTCTATGTTTATATCAACGTTGATGCAAATGTCAAATAACGAAAAGGTCGCTCAGCAATTACGTCAATATTGATATAGATGCAGAGAAGTAAAAGGGCCGCTCGACAGTTGTGTTGGCATCTACGTAGATGTTGAACAACCCTCACCTCTCATCAATACTTTCTTCATTCATAACAACCATCTCCTAACCCCAACAAAGTCATCCTCTACCACCACTGATGTCGTCCACTACTATGAACTAAAATGTTAAAATTATATTTTTGCTTTTTGTTTTTATGTTTTCGTTGATAAAATCAACAACATTATAATAAATGAACATAAATGTTTCAATTTTGTAACTATAGTGATGCCAATATAAAATACTATGTTTGATACCAATCTAATCAAGGATGGATATGTTTGATACCTAAAATATCAAATCATATGTCTAAATAATTTATTATTTTATAAGTCCAATAAGGCAACATGGAAACAATGGAATACTAGACGGCAAGGGAACGAGGGAAAATATCGATCCAAGAAAGCGACCGCGAGAGGGGTCTTCGTTGCTTTCCCTTGCCCTTTGGGAGGAGCTTTAGAGCAAGCGAGGAGTTTGAATTTGGAATCAGAAGAAGGGAGAGAGAAAGAGAGAGAGTGAGAGCGATTGATGATGCATGATTGCTTGGTTGGGCAGGGGAGAGGGGAGAAGCTTCGTGGGGACAGAGCAGAGCGACGTTGGTTGGCGACCATATGACCGAGACGGGTGGGGTGGGGGACATGGATTTCCAACTGTCACCGCCCATGCCACCACAACGCGCGTGAGGTGCGCGGGCGGCCCAACCGAAATCTAACTGTCAGAAACGTGCTCCAAAGAGATACCTGCATTATTATGTTTGACTCAATGATATTGGAAATCTTTGAAGGCGTCAACAAGATACTGCCGCCCAAAGTCGGTTTTTGTCTTGTAGTATAAAACTGGCGATCTCGGGACTGCAGCTTCCTTCCTGGGTGGGCGCTGCTTCCCTAGTTCGATGGGTCGGCGGGTGAATGGATCACGTTAAACCACGTGATGGGTTGATCGGATCCATAGTATAAATCTATCTAAACGACACATATTAAACTCACTTGAATTCATAGTATCCGGAAAAAGGTCAGGTCCTCCGACAATAGAATAAGGGCCTTCCACACATGTATCCTTTTGACAGTTTGGAAATGGTATATTTACTCCTTTAAAAATTAACAATATATATTAAAATATTTAAATCATCACTTCTGTTAGCTTTTGTCTAATAAAATTATATTAATCATTATCAACCACACATGATACTTTTTTTAAACTTCAAATCTAAAAAGACAAATAAAAATTTTACTACTTGGAAGAAATTTAAAATGTAATATTTTTAATTGTATTTATATCATTTGAAGTTTCAATGGTGTTATGCTAACGTTCATCTAACAGAATTAACGACAATGTTATTTAAATAAGTTTTTAAGTATTATAGGAATATATGCACTAAGATAAATTTTGATGCACAAATAAAAAACACGAAGATATATATATATATAGTTTTATCATAAAATATTACATAGTTGATGTATTTAAATCGGTTTATTTCTTTAATTGAACTAATTGATAAGTAGATGCATCCACACGCCCGTACAAAAAGACCTGCCATTAGGAAAATATTTTCAGAATAATTTTACTTGAAAATTGACTTGAAAGTTGGGCTCAATTAGACTGGTATAACTCACCATGTCAAACCAAGTCTAATTTGATTAATTTTAATAATGAAAACACGTCTTTTAGGGTTCAGACGGGATTGACAAGACATTTTATTGCGAAGGAGGTCAGACCATTTCAAGCGATGCGTCCCAGAATTAATCGGATAATTCCGAATAAATAGGTCGTCCGTTATATCTGTCTACCCAAAAATATTAGCCAACTATTATTTTTAGGAATTTTTTTTCTTAAGATCTAAGTAAATTATCCGCCGAGGAGCAGCAGCGGCCCCGTCGCGTCTACGGACGCGGCAAACGCGTCACCGTCGCTGCCCACGAACCCGCCTCTCTCTCTCTGTCCTGACTGCACCCAACCCGCCTCCCTTGGGATAAGTAGGGAATAATTTATGTGCGCAAGACTTGAGGCCAGCGCAGTGACAACGGACACCTGAGTTGGGTAACCGAGTCTAGGTTCGCCTCATCCGCCACGTCCCAATTTAATTTGCCCCACCAGGCACCCATTCCTTCCCATTAAAAGATAGCCGTCAAAGCCCTTTGCTCGCCTTTATCCAGCTGTTCCTCCAACCGCGTTACGACGGCGACGTCCGCGCCCGCCACTATATACATATCTACGGCTTGCTCCCCCACTACTCCCCAGTAACACCAAACACCCCCCTTCTCACTAGCGCTCGACCATACGCACGACTGCAGAGCATCTCAGTTTCAGAATGGATACCTTTTATGGTGGGGACGGCGCCGCGGCCTCCTCCGGCTCCAGCTCCAGCTCGCCTTCCTCGGGGGAGACGTGGTTGTACTCGACGGTGTCGCAGGCGCCGCCGAAGCGGCCCGCGGGGCGGACCAAGTTCCGGGAGACGCGCCACCCGGTGTACAAGGGCGTCCGCCGAAGGGGCGCCGCCGGGCGGTGGGTCTGCGAGGTGCGGGAGCCCAACAAGAAGACCAGGATCTGGCTGGGCACGTTCCCCACGGCCGAGATGGCGGCGCGCGCGCACGATGTCGCTGCGATGATGCTCCGGGGCCGCTCCGCCTGTCTCAACTTCGCCGACTCCGCGTGGCGCCTCCGCGTTCCGCCCTCCTTCTCGAGCTCCAGGGACATCGCGCGGGCCGCGGCGGAGGCCGCGGAGGCGTTCCGGCCGTCATCGGACTCCAGCGGCGACGCTGCGTCCCCCCCGATGACAGAGAGCTCAGCACACGCATCACCATCGTTGCCCACGACGGCCACACCTCCCCCGACGTCACCGGAGGAGGGCGCCGGCAGCGACAGCTACCGCGGAGGCGCGTTTGATATGATGAATTACGACGACATGGATTTGGGATACTGTTACTACTCCAGTATGGCGGAGGAGTTGCTGGTGGAGCCGCTGCTGTACAATTGGGATGATGTCGATGCTGGCGCCGACCTGCCACTGTGGAGCTACTCCATATGATGATGGAGACGACAACGTGGCACCTGACCAGGTCGATGTTAGGTTTCATGTATATTAGCTACTGTGAAATTGTGATAGATAGAGTGCCCAATTTTGGTTCGAACGAGATGACTTATATTTAAAAGGAAATGAATGCATACTCTCCTAGTCATCTCAGCCATCGGTAATTTGGTCTTCTGTAACATCTCAGCCATCGGTGACAAGCCTGCCACATGTCACATCTATTATCAACAACTGATGTACGAAAGCAGCAGACAAATAAGAAAAGTAATTTGGTCCGTACGAATCGGAGGGGATGCAGAATCTTACGTGTAACTGTTGATGTGGCTTTGTATGACCGACGAATTCCTTCTGTCCACCGGCGAACCAATCAACTCTGGGCAGCAATTTGGTACTTGTGAGAAACAGAAGTCCTGTGGCTGTCAAAAATAGATACATAAATAAATAAAAGAGTAATGTCACAGTACAGATGAACACTTGCCAGGAAGATCCCATGAGTCCGCCACTATCGGATATTTCACACTTTCTGGTGTTGGGGTAGAGAGAGAATACAGACGAACCCCACTTGAATCATTCTGCAGATGCGGTCAAAGGTCAAACAGTCTTTTCCACTAGGGTTTTGGTTAATGTCTTGCTCTCACGGTCAACGTTGGTGACACCTGAAATAACACGAGCAGAAAACAAATTTATTTACCATGCGATTAATGCCGAAAAGTAAACGAGGTGAATAACTGTTAGGATTCAGAAAGCCAGACTCAATGGATCAGATTCTGTGTGCATGCATGTCTGTATTCCTATTTGGATACAGAGAAAAGAGGCCAAAATGGATCTACAAATTAATCCATGGCCACCACATCTGACATCGTCTCTTCAAATTCACATGAAAACAAGAAACAAGCAAGAATCTATAGAGACGTGGGACAAAAGGAACAAAAAACAGATTCCCAGCAGCGTCGTAAAACACTAATAGTTCACTAAAATTTAATCACGATTACGTCAAAACTCTAAAGTCAGTTTAAAATCCAATAGTTCTCTAATTTAGTAGCAAGCAGATAGAATAGCTGCATAGAGAGATAAAGAGAAGAATATAAGTAGACCTGAAGTAGCAATAAAGGAAGAAAGACCAGAAATAGTAAAAAGTATGTGTGCTATGAAGCCAATATTCTCTCATACAAGCAACCAGACCTCTTTTTCCTTCTTCAACTAAGACTCTATTGACTCATACAAAACACAACTATCGCCTCCTTAAAATCAAGTGCCTACTTGACATATTGATTAATTGACAAATATAGTCTGCCCTTGACCTGAAAAAAGTAGCAACCGAAGCTTAAAAACATTAATTTGAATCCAACATATTGACCTTTGGATATGCCAATCCAATTTGATATCTTTGAACTTTGCCTTGATTGGATCATTAATTTACAGCCTCGGGTACATCAAGTTGCATAGAATGAATGGTTTAGAAGAGTGCCCAGTTGATTTATGTTTGCTTTAGATTATCAAGTTAGAAGTGATCAGCTCACAAGCAACACATCAATGTCTATGAGCAAAGTGCCCCTTGATTGCCAAAGAAGACAGAAAGCAAATGTGTTGCACCATGAATGTCATATTACTGGAATAATGTTACAACATTAAAAAAATCATTATGAAAAGGAAAATATAGTGCATACCTTTTCTTCCAATAAGCCATTGACCTCTTTGAGAACGTATACAGGATCAATGCTTCTGTCAGTCAACAGAAACCAGCATTCATCATCCAGCAGAAGGAACATCTGGCTCATCTGATGGATCGGTTGACTCATCAGATCCTGATAATTCAGCCTGGCTGACTTCAGTTCCCTCAATGGAGAGAGTATGAAGGATAGTACTAAAGGTGGCTCTCTGCCATTTGACCTGGCAAGGATGACCATGTATAATCTCCACCCACATGATGGTGTAAAACTAACATTGGTCAAGTAACAAGCTCTCATTTCTCTTTAGTAATCGGTAGGAAGCATACTCTGACTATATAAGATAGCAAATTGGTGCTGGAAACAAGTTAGTAAGTCAACCAGATCCTCAACTTCAGGATTATCCAGCTACACAAAAGGCCTTCCTTTCCTGCAGAGTACATTGGGTAATGTTGTGTTGCAAGGATATAAAGGTTCATAGATTACTCGTGAATCTAAGATAAGGCGATAAAATGACTAAACAGATTAAATCATGAAAGAAAGAGAGTCAATATAAACAAAGAGAAGATTCTACCTGAACAGAAACTGAATGTAAATAATGAGAGCAAAGTTCTAATCAATCTTAAAGCATCAAAACTTCAGAAATATATCAACTACAAGCAAAGTAAATTTGTACATTGCCATTTTTGATTTGTTCAGCTCGTCATTATCAATTCAATGCCTCAATAGAACTTAAATGTTTAGGCATTTGAGAATACCTCAATTCAGGAAGTTGAAAACCAAAGAAGATTATAATATACGAACAAAAAAATATTTACTAAATTGTGGCCTAAGTATCAACACATTAGATGCCCTTGTAGATTATATGCATATCATTTACGGCAATCTATCATTTCATTGTCTATAAACACAAAACTTAGATTAGGTTGCCAGACAGTCAGAATTTTATTGGGATCGGAAACCAGCAGCAGGAAGGGCGTGGTTTTGCCTCCTTAAACCAACCTGATACAAAAGTGAGAGCAACCATGAGACACTATGTGCGCAACTCCTCTCGCGGCGAGAGTGCAAGTGTGCAATGTACAAGGCACAAATCAACAGAAACTAGAAAGCACTATACACTTCGTTTCCTCTTCCCCTAGGTTTCCACATTTGTAACAGAGATATATGTGATCCAGTAAGCTTCTTTGTTTCGCCTATCTGTAATATAAATCTTGAAAAATAAACAACTAAAAGTAACCATCAAAAGGAAGCCAACACAAATGCATTATGAATCCAGAAGATGCGTCATCTTCAGCTCATAATTCACACCCGTACATATATGATAGAGTCTTGAAGACCTGATTCGGATGCTATATCAGAGTTGCATCCAGCCTATCTTCCGCGAGCTTCGGCAGCGAGCGTCCACCCCCGAGATCTGGAAGAAAGGGGCCGGATCAAAAACCCCAACCATCCGTCTTCTTACTGAGAAAGGGGCACCGGATCAAGAGATCGTACCTTGGAAACGGCGACGAAGAAGGTGCTGGACGATTGATCTACAAGGAGCGAGAGGCCGATGGCGACGCGCTCGTCCCGGAGGAGGTCGACGCCCTCGTTGCGATGGCAGAGACTCGACAGATCGCAAGAGGCTCCCCGACGCCCATGGACGAAGGCGCGACCGGCGGATGCGGAGAGGGTTTCGATCCGGTTCGATAAAGCATAGTAAGGGGTTTTGTAGTGGTGGGTTGGCGGGGCTCCACTACAAATTCATGGGAACATTCGCTTCTTTAAGATTCGGAAAGGCAAATCGCCAATGAATTTGATCGGCTGGAGCATAATACTCAATAAGATTCAAAATTAAGTAATATTTTTCTTGTGAAAAAAGATAATAATGAGGATTAAGCCAGTTTGACAAATTCAATTGTGAGAACAGCTTCTAAAAGAACAATGTAAATAGCTTATTACTTTAATGTCAAAAAGGATCTCTTTCTAGTGAACTAATAAGCTAAGGTAGAAAAGTTTATAGATGAAGCAGCAGCTAAGAAGGTAGCATTGCTTATGGCTGTTCTCTTGCACAGAGCTCCAGTGCTTGTTCGGCTTCCCTCAGAAACAGGCGAGTGAGCTGCTTTTGGCCTTTCCTATACACCACACAGGACCATCGAGTTCTGCTCATTGACACCCCTTCACTTGTCCTTTTGCTCCTGCGAAGAAAACAATATATGGTTCAATAGATGTCTCACTAGGAATGCCATGGATAATGTTTTTTGTCTTGCCTGCAACAGCAGATGCAGCACTCAAATATTTACATTTTCGATACTAAAAGATGATGAATGTGACATTGCATATGACTGCTCATATATAACCAAACTAATCAAACTTGTATATGGTGATGAATATGATATACTAAGATGACAAAGGGAACAACTACACAGGAGTTATTTATGGTTCAGACCTACAAAATTGAAATTAAACTCAAAACACCGTGACAACACCAGAAACAACTCTCAGTAGCCTCAAGAATCTGCCCCATGAATATGCTTATGGCAAAGGTCAGCAGAAGGGAGATTGAATAAACTCTTATGCAATTAATAGCCACCTTGCTGAACATTTGACGATGACTATATTTCTTCTCTTGGAATGGTTTTGTACTTGACATGCAACAAAATCATAAAATTCAAGCTAGTTCAGCATACCTCTCAACATCTTCAAGTTTCATGATGGAGAAATTTGTAAGAATTTCATCATCATAATCTTCTGTTCCAGATCCCTCTTCAAGTTCCATCATCCTTGCAAACATAAAATGTAAGAAACCAAATAAAAGAATAGCACAGCTAGATACTATTTTCAGAATCTGCATGCTAATTTCCCAGCATAGCATATCACATCATCTATATGGAGGCTATTGGCATGACTAATTGTTCCCTAATCTGTATTGATTGTCACAATATTACACATCAAGAAACAACAAGACACTGAAACAGATAGATGGAAGGCATGCTTCCAAAAGATAGGTCAGCTCAAGACAAGGTTTTATATATTAGTATTGTACTCGTACCAGAATCTTATCAGACAAGTATCACCAACTGATATCGAAAATATGAATCAGTATACTCAATAAGAACAATGATCTTTTAATGTGTCAGTACATTGGAAGTATTACAGTATCTAAGCCATTGCTCAAGGTACTTCGAGAGAATTTAATTTCATTAGTTATCATGTCAGAACAGGCATAGAGATGTCAGACAAAACTGACAAACCATGAATTGTTCACCTAATTTAGAATACCTAGGATCCATATCTGTAAGAGTGACAAAGAAGAAAGAAATGAAAGTACCTAAGAATGACAAAGAATGTCACAGAGAAAAAAGAAAAATGCACATGTGAGATGAGACTAATACTTCATGCGAAGAAGTTCAACAAGCAGTTCCAAGGCTCCATAATCCCCACAGACTTCCCATATAGCTGTTTGTATATCTTTATCAGATGGTTGTCTTTCCTCCCCAGATGCACCAAGCTTGTCAAAGTAAAAGAAGAAAGTAGAAAATCAAGGGCATCATAAACTGAAAATATCTATGTAGTAATTTGTTCACACCCAGTTAATGAATCTGTGTCAAATCAGAAAAAACATCTTGTAAGATGATGAGATGATCCACATATGAACCTAAGGCAAACTTACTTGAAGTTGTATGTGTAAAACATTAAAAATGAAGTTGATTAATAATAAAGGATAACAGGAAAATGTGGACCATGTCATATTGTAATATGCTTTCATCCACAAATCTAATGCAACCTTGATTAGCAATTTGAGAAAATACAATTCATATGTGATAAAAGAATTTTTTTTCATGTTACGTATGGCATTTAACGTTGCAAATAGGTACAGGGAAAACTGAAATATAAAAGAAGATATGGAAGATAACAATAAAATGTACGCAAGATGGATTTATTATGAACAAGTTAATATATCATAAAGAATATTATTTCAGTAAATAATTATTGCAAATAATAAAAATTTTGACCCCTATTGTCTGCAGCTTTTTAAGGCATAAGAGGCCTCACTATAACCCTAGGGATTCCATAATTACAATGCATGTGGAGTGTTGGATAATGCATAGGCAAGTGAAGGACTGTTTGAAGAAATTAAAATTTTTGCTCTTCTTTCCATCTATCCTCTTCTCTCGAGTAACAGAACATTGCAAAGTTGGTGGTTGACAGTGAATGCAATGACTCGAGCAACTATTTCCTCCTTTCCCTCTTCTTCCCCTCCCAAGGCTACCACCTAGAGTAACTGTCAGCCTCCTTCCATCATTTATCCTTCTATTTTCCTTTTCTTCTTTTGACAAATTGTCTATTAACTGATCAACATCAGCCAACTCCAACTGAGTTTTACAAATTCTAGATCATTGGAAATGAGACCAAAAATCCACCAAAAATATATCAGTAATTCACCAAGTGAATCATATGAGAAAAATTAACCAAAAACATGAACTATGCTCACAACAAAATGATAAAACATTTATAACTTTACAGCTAAAACGTGTATATTTGAATCTTTCATATTTCTCCTATGTTATGCCAAGTATACCAAATAGTGTATAAATCTTTACAGGTTTAACTATTCATCTAAACAAATTGCCTAACATCACTACATCATAAAGTATTAAATTTATTTTGCAGATCTTTTGCTTCGATAAGCTACACATCATTTACCGAATAGATGAACTGCCTCATCCAACCATTAGTATAAAGTATAAACATGTCCATTTTAGGATAAAAAGAAACAACCTTTACCTCTTCTAGTAATGAAACAACTTGCCTAAGCTCATGTTCCTGCATTGCAATAGTCCGCAAAGCCACAAGGAACTCTTGTGGGAAAACCAGCTTGCTCAAATATGAAGGAACTTTGCGCTGACCACTCCAGCTATAATTATAGCTCTGGCCGACCAAGCTTTTCTTACTATCTTCATTTCTTTCACTGAAGAAACCATGATTGAGCGAACTTTTAGGTAAGAGACATCTCAGTTCAGCTTTCTGCAGGCGAAACCAAATTCATAAGCAAAATCAACACAGTAAATGGTGTTTATAAGCACTGGAAAAATCCATCAAATATCATAATGCTCTACTAATCAACATATCTGTGATAAATTAATTTCCAGCAGTAACAGCTGAGAAATGAAAAAATACAAATAAATATCTTCAATTCTAGAGCTGCTAGTGTAAATTCATCAGTGCTACTCAAAAGGGTCGGGAAAACACTATCCTTGATCATCCACAGTATTTAGTGTTATAGGCTTACAGCCATAAAGAAGGCAAGCTTAAATGTTTAGGTAATACAAAGAAATTAAGTCAGGTAATACAAAGAAATTAAGTCATGGTCCATAGTGCATACAATTTACATTGTACCTAAATCAGATAATAACTCTTATAAGCATTATAAGAGTTAACATAAGCATTATCAGCAATACTCAGATTTTTGGAAATTCTGTCTTAAAGGCCGAACAAATGATGATCAGGAAAAGTAAATGGATTTCTATATCAACCCACTTTTCACAGTTGTGAATCTTGTGAAACATCAGATTACTAATTTTTTCAAGTTACACTATACCTCCTGTAGTTTTAGCTAAAAACACTATGCTCCCCTGTACTTATAATTTCTAAAATTGGCCAAGTTTAGAAACTAGAAACTATCAGATAAGGCTGTACAAGTTTGGCTCTTATATGTAAAAATAATCTTGTGCAACATATGTGACTGTTAGAAAATAAAAAAATGTGGTAAACTTGAAGTTATCCAAATCATCATCATAAAACTTGTTGGTTGTAGCAAATGATGAGGTTTCATTAACCATAATGTTAAGAATGGTTCGCCTTACCGGTCCATACTGGTGCACCGACCGACCATCGGTATGATACATTCTGAACCATACCGACATACCAACACATGGTACGGTGAGGCATACCGATAAACTGGTATGTACCACCCATACCGGTCCCCTATCGAACAGATACATATCGCTTGTACCATGCGGTATACTGGGGTACAGCGAACCTTGATGTTATGGTAGAACTGATCTGATATCAAATCTAGTAGTGAAAAGTGCCTGTGGCTAATTATGCTAACTTAAGAAAATCAATTCAACACAATTTAGACAACTTTTGCATAAAAGTCATACTGTAATGGGTGTTTCAAGCATCTGGTTATTTAAATTAGGAGTCCCAACACTGCACAAGAATAGACCATGGTGCCTAACAGATATGATATTTAGAATCACTTACTGGCACTACAAAGCCGTGACCATGTAACTGATGGATCAGTATAAAACCTTAGGTAGACTTAACCTCCAATATTCACATAAATTATGTCATTTGTAAGAGAACTAATTATGGCTTATTCTTGTTGTGTAAGAAAACTAATCCTAACATGAATACCTGAGCTTCTAGAAGTTCCGCTTTGCTATCTGATGATGAAACACTCTTTAATGCTTCAATGGGATAATGAACCTAAAAAAAGTTAATCAAGAAAATAGTAAAAATGAAGTATGGTTTACAAAAAATGGCATTAAAAAACAAGGAGTAAATGATGCAATGAAACTAAGATGAAATAGTGACTAGTTTTTACAAAAGATTAGCCACAAAATATACACACATAATGATTCATGTTACTCAAATTACGGCTCTCAAAAAATATACTAAAATTGTCAAAAAGCACTTTTTGCTTTTATAAAAATTATGGAAGGTCTCCATACCATGAGATAATCATCTGGATTGTTATCAACAACAAACCCATAAAGGTACAACAGCTCCTGCAAGCAAAATAATAAAATGATCAATTCATAAACAAAAAAGCATGAACTCAACATCTTCTAACTTGAAAACCTTGATATATGGTTGTGTAAACTTATATTTGATATGGCAAAGGAAAGTCTAGTCTCGTGACTTTGACCATTTTCTTCTTTACAGGAAAGAATAGGCAATGTGTAATAGCTTTTTACTCTCAAACAATCCAACATGGAATATAGTAAGAATGACATAATTCTTCAGATCACTGACCCTGAAATGCAGAATAAATCAGAGAATTTGCAGGACGAGGACAGCAGACGATGAAATGGGCTGATTATGCATGCTCCTTACAGCATGCATCATTGCTTTCCAACAGATTCTAGTAAGAAGTAAGAATTCGCTAACAACCAGACTTTCCCATGAATGCACATGTTCTAGCTAAAATCCAAGGCTGACCTTAAATACAATCTGACAATTTGATCCATTTAGTTAGATAAATCCATTTAGTTAAATACAATCTGACTTTTCTCTCTTCATCTAAGCACAACCAGATCCTCAAATGTTTTGAGTTTTTAATAAATTTCATTGATAACCAAGGTTCATCGATAGACCACTTGAGCACATGCTTTCATCTTGGCAACCTTGGTGGAATATGCAATTGTGTGCACTAGACATGGCTAAGTAATTTAAGCATACCCCACTCAAACACAAACTTTTACAACTTAGGTGTATATTCTTCCCGATGTTAGTACATACAATAGGTACAACCTACCTAGATAAGTCCAGCATGAATTGTTATTAGATATTAGCCTCATAGAACAATTTCAACAAACCAGCAAAAAATAATAATAATAATCTAATAAAAATGCATCACAGATAGGCTAGAAGAGGAAAAGGAAAATCTTAAAGTTAATTATACTCATAAGGCGGGCATATGAAAGTTTATGCCAACAATATGCCAATCCATGCCATTCAAGGGCAGTCCATACTAAATAGATCACTTGGATACAAATCCAGCAGAATTTGTTCTCGAATTCAGAAACAAATAGAAGAGTACTGTCGTCATGAATGTTGTTTGTACTTTGTAGAACATTTTTTTCATAAATTAAATGTGTTCTCAAAGTACCATGACACTGAAAAACAATATACATTTATTCAAAATTCATATTTACACATAAGATTGATAAGCTGAGTAGCTGCCTAATGAAAGCAAAAAAATAAACAGAACTGTGAAAAGCAAAAAGTCATATAATGCATCCGCAAATTGTTTCCTGTCAACAAGAGCTTCCAGTAAATGAGAAGTAATGAAAACTACAAACCATTTAATTCAATGGACAAAGTTTGTACCTCGTTGCCTTTGTTACCATAGCTGATACATATCTCCTTCCCAACTTCAAAATTTTGCTGATCAGCTTTTGCGGAGAAACACAAATGAAATCAAATACCATATTTAACTGGATAATGAATTGCATGACTTAAAAAAAAAAACAACCTGAATTTCATTGTTGAATTTGCACTCAGTTAAAATTTCAAATGCCAAACAAACTTAAGGAAAGACATCAACTATGGATGTCTAAGAATCATGTTAAGAACATAAATCAATCAGTGCACCTAACCTTCCAAATAAGTTCCTTGGTAATGCATTTCCAGAGATTTGGAACACTGAGCTTAGGCAATAACGAGACGGAAACAATATCATATATCAACCATTTCAGCATTAGCTTTTACATATTTTCCAAGTATGTTCAAAACAAATTTAAGTGGTAATATCAAAGGTTCATATTATTGCCAAGAACAGGTTTCTGATATTTACTGAGCTTCAAAAGGAGACATTGGAACACAGCACCTAGAGTAGAACATGAGTAGTATTTTACCAAGAATGAGATACATAGAAGCAGGAACTCCAGTCACAGCTCCCGTTGAATCAACCTCCCATGTTGCAGCTGCCTTCAAACCTGAAACAAGATAATCAATGAATGGAAATTAAGCAGATTTAGTCAGAAACTACAAGCAGGTGCTACCACCAATGGAACTTAACACTGAACTAGACAACATTGCCCCACAAGTCAACACTAGACAAAATTGTTCCAAAACTAAGCCTTCTATGCCAGGAAGTCTGGAACATAATGCTGAAATTTGATAGTATGTGGTTTTCTTGTATCATGCAGCTACTTGAAAAAAAGTCAGGATGATATACCAGAGAAAGTATCATTCACAAATGCAAGTCTGAGTTAAGAAAAATGCAGAGATGTGTTTCTTAAGTCTATCCACAATAATGGTGTATAACATGCCAATATGAAATAACACTAATAGTCCAATGAGAGTTTACCTATTAGTTATTAGTTTCAACAAAATAATACTCAAATTATGTTTGTACGAGATATCCAGCAATGTGGTGTAAGAAAGAGAAACCCTAGTCTGTTAATTGGCAGCACCATGCAGTTTCCAACATTACATGTTCTTCCACTAACAAAGGTTCAGGTTCCCCGAATTGGACTGCTCTAACCTTTCAATCAGTCATAGTCACTTCCATCCTACTCCCAGTCAGCTGTGCTGAAGGAGAGAGCTGCCAAGGTAGTCCACCTGCTGGAGAACATCAGGCAAGTGTTTTTCTAGTGTTCTATTATTCTCTTTTACTTCTATTATCTAATTAGTGCTGTCAAAAGGCCTGTGCTAGCAGACCATGAATCGTTCTCTTTATAATAGCCCTAGCATCACTTAAATCACTGCTCTAGATACAGTAGCAACAGCAACAACACTATTCCTTTCTGATAAGTCAGGGTTAGATGATAAGTACTTCATCCCAGTTCCATGATGGCAAATCATTAGTGATTTACAACCTGTTTGCTAGTTACTTTATTATTCCTTTTTTTAATAGATATGGAGCCAAATAAAAATGGCTTCATGTATGTATATATCAAGAATGTCCAACATAAGGCCAGAGAATACCAGGTTGTTATGCAGAGTCTAGTGTATTTTTAATAAAGAAACATGTACTGATGTACAAATTCACATAGTTTCTATTTAGACATTCTGGAGTTACAACAAAGTACAAACAATAGCAGACTTAATGACTTATATTGCAGAAACTGATAATAATAGCATCACAAGATTTCAAGAACTCTAAAACTTAGTCTTTATTTTTCTGACTTGTCAGTCCATGCAATGGCATTTTTTGTTTCTGTTTTATGTACACATGCTAAAGAAATACTACCTAATGAGCCCAATTCAGAAAGTTGTTTATTAGTTGATGCACCCATGTTGATTATTTGTTATTTGCAACCAAGATTATTGTGCAACTCCGCAAAAGTTGTCAGAGGCCAAACCACAAATGTGGTACCAGCATGCATCATGCAGCTATGCTAGAATGTTGGCATACTAGCCAACATATACCAAGCCATTGTAGAAAGGCATCAACATAGCCATCATGCTACAAAGGACAATCGTCGGCTGAAACTAGTATTACTCATGAATACATCTAGAACATAAGAAAGCTCCTACCTTGAACTTTATGTGGTTCATATCAGAGAGATATGCTAGTTGAAGGCAAGTCTTCAGAGAGTGATTTAATTTTTAAAGAAAGCATCTTAGAGCAATTAAATAAAGGCCAACCTTTGAACCCCACTAATCAAGTCCCAGTTAGCAAAAAAAAAGAGAGAAACCTTCATATTTAAATTAGTGTTCAGGTAACTGTGTTATGTCAATCATTTTAAGACAAAAAACCGCCATGAACTGATTGAATTATTACAATACAGAAAGATGATATTTCAATTTGATGCAAAAGCTTTATTTAATCTACTTGCCAGATAACTCCAATGAGGTATGTCAACACAAAAGGCAAGGGTTACAATAAGCATGACTCTTGAATTTAAATAGTCTTCTACATACAGCTGTGCTTTGGTTGCCAAAGGTATGTCGCATACCATGATTACAAAAATCAATTCCAGGAACAAGGCCCTCAACCCAGACAGTCTCTGCACTGGCTAATTTGTAAGCACCATCAGCCGTGTTCTCCACGATAACATGATCCTAATATAAAAACCCATGAATTACCAGATTGACCTTATGAAAATAAATAAAAAGGTAGGATAATAGCAAAACCTTCTAAAATAGGCACCCTCTTGAGTAAAATACAGTGAAAAACCACACAGAAACCACAGATTCTTTATCGTTAACTACCATACAAGAGAGACAAATAACAGCAGAAATGACAACCTCACTTTTGACGTTCAGTGAATGAATAGATGTTTCACCAGAATTTCCAGTTACAGTAGCATCGGCTTCACTGCTACAGGACAGAGAACTTTTGCCTTGCTCATCTAGTGACTCAGGGAAGACATAAGAACGAGGAAATGGTATATTCAAAGCTCTAGTCCAAAATATGCAATTTGCCCTGTCAAAGTTATGTGAGAAGGCAGTTTGAAAGAAGGCTAAAGATGTGTATAACTTGAGTCTGAGAACTAAAATTTCCCTTTAACAAAATAGAAAAGACACAACTAGAATATTGTTGATGCTACCTAAGAAAGTGACTGTGCTCTTGCATTTTAAAAACAAATTAGTTATGATATTTATAAGTTCAGTGTAGCCCTGTTTAGGTATAGCAAGATTCTTTCACATTCAAGAAAAGATGGTAATAATATGGATCAATGTAATCACATTGATATTCTAAAGGTAGATGATATGCAACTTGGCATATCATGTTACAGTAAGTTTATGGTGATATTTATGTTAATAATTGACTCTTTTATATATGAACTAGAATGAGCCCATAGTAGAAGAAAAGATTGCTATAATTACAATGCATTTCCAGGACATATCATAAATTAGATGCAATCAACTTTGCTATATCAATTAATTGAAATTCTTATGATGGACATACAACCATTTATTATGCTTTTAACTGGTTATATAATACTTGTGGATGAACAAAAATGTGTATTTGCAACATGTAATTTCACACATTTATTTTTCTTGAGAATTCAGCCTCCATGTAATTATGAGATGCTTTTTTATGTTCATGATTTGTCTCTGCTGTACATATATACCTAAATGTATTCTGATTTCTATTTTTTATAAACTATTTTGTTGAAGTATATGTTTTAGGATGACAAGACACGTATGTTCACAGGAGTCAATTCTGGAACTCGGTGTATCCAGAATGTTTATGCATCCATCACCAATCATTGAGCCATTAGCATAGAAGATACATTGTTATAACTTATAACCGCTGTCGGTGTTTCGATGGACTGACTTCCGTGTTTTTGATGATATGTCATATATAATGTATGGGCTTGATATTCCTCTAAGGAACTCGGTGTATCTAACTCTATTTTTGTGGCCAATTCAGGGTCTAAGAGGATCGATGTACACTGCTTTCCCTCGAACTCCAATCTCCCAGGTTGTAAAGGACCATTATTGTCGTACCAAGGTCTGTCCTCATCTAATGACAGATAAATTATAAGTTATTGGATGATAACTTCATAATTATGATTGTGAAGACCATTACAGAGAGTTGCATTAAATCAAATAATGAAAGGGGTATCACAATTTTTTTGTGCACTACAGCTCACTAAAGACACTCATGTATCAGAAAACTTTCAATTAAATGGGGAGCATCTTGCATTCTGATTGGAGTAAATATTGAAAACTATAGTTTTATGATGTAAAAACAACTAGCCATTTGGAGTAAATGACACGAGGAAATACTTGCAAAGTTTAACATCTATCACATCTCTCAATGGTTAGACATCTAAAAAGATAGCTTGTTGAAAGCAAATGACTTCATGCTTGGTCTTTTGGACTTTCATAGATCAAACATGTGAACTAATATAAACAAATGGGTTGTATTATTCTAAGCCCAAATTTAGGTCTAGGATCTTATTTGACGAAAGCCTGGACTCAATGATGTATTTTATGATGTTCAAAAACTATAAATTCTTTTAAACAAACATATCAATAATTATGAAATATCAATTAGAAAAATAAGACCAACAAAAAATAGTAAAGCATCACGTCTTACAATCACAAACAAAAAACAAGTTGCATTTTTATGAGACATAAGTAATTAATCTACATATGCCTCCACTGATTCACCCGAACATGTTCAAGAAACAAATATCATACTCATATTAACCAAAATTTTTGAAAATAAGGGACTACCACAGGAAACAATTTTCTAAAATAAGGTAATAAGAAAAGAAGAGTTTTCTAAATTAAATATAAAATAGCATCCTTTGTTTTATGTATTCTTCAGAGTCAAACACCATAATCAGTTTTACTTTTTGTATCCTGTATAGTGATTATCACATATAACTCATTACAGAACATGAAAAGGATTTTAACAAATCAACAGGTTGATATAAGCAAAAATACAACAAAATTTGGATCTTCTCATACAAGTCCTCATATCACCCCTGATACGGACCTATTTGTTATGATCCTATAGGGTCCCAATCCAAGGTAGCAACAGTTGTTTCAAGGCCATTTTGATCTATATCATAAAATGGAGCATCATTCAATTGTAAGATCCCAACAAATTTGAGCACCAATTTTCTTCATTTTTTATTCCAAACTACAGAATTAGAATCAAAATCCAAATAAGATTATCTTCATCATTAAAGAATTGCTTGAACTGGCATGATTTTAATACATTAACAAGCCCAACTTTTACCATTGAACTTCTGTTGAATCAAAAACTGAACATTTGCAGATCTGCATTAGAACTCTTTAAAAATTGCACAAGCACACATTAGAATTGGCCTTAGGACTTACTAGTATATTAATCACTTAAGTAGTTTCTTTATGCCAATGTTTGCTAGTCAATATAAGCATGATAAGCATACCTACTGAATGGTCAGTGCTTAAACCAAAAGTTCTGCAGTCTTCATCAAAGAGAATTTCCAAACGGATTTCTGGATAAACCATATACAACATACTATGCAATTTAAATTTGTAGGTCTATCTAAAAAAAGAAACAATCAACTTATAACTTGCATCAAAATTATACCCTAAAACTAGGAACTGCAGTCGATGTACAAGGATTGAAGATAATGAAATGTCAGTTATTTTATTCCATGATTAGCTGCAACAAATAAATGTCTAATACAGAATAAGTGTGTAAATTATAGCAACATCTAGCAAGAATATAAGAATTCATACCAAAGGAAGTCTTCGAACTGCACTTCAATGGTTCTGGCAAATCATTAAGCAGATTGTGGAAATTAGTAGCAAGCTCAGTAAAATCCTAGAGAAGAATTCCGGAGAAGAAAATTTAAAAGAAGAAATAACTAATCTTTTACCACAGGTCTTAGGCATACTTAGATTAAGCATGGTAGATACAACCAAAATGCCTTTACAAAGTAAAATAATTATTCACTCCTGTAGAACTTTTAGTAGGAATGCTAACAGTTCACAAGGGCACATATTATTTAAAGAAACTTCATCACGATCCCAAACCATTAATTTCCAACTGAATAGCATTATATGAGATGGAAAACTCATATCTTAAACATATTACCAAAAAAAAACCTAATTAATATGTAAAACTTAAAATTTACAAGAAACAATGGCTAAACAATTTAGACTCAAGGGGTCTCTATCGAGAGGTTGATTAGGCCATTGTTGCGCAAGTGATAGGTCTCAAGTTCGAGTCCACATATGGGCGTCATGTATGCTATTTGATATAATGAAAATTTATTCTATTTTTTTAAAAGAAAGTAGACTCAAAGGCCTCTTACTAATGATATTATAGCAGTATAAATAGCATGATAGTATACATAAACTGAATGCTCATATTACAAACACTATAGCAACATCAGACAGAATTAGATGGCACAACAACTAAAAAAAGAATAAGAGAGATCTCCCTAATTATTCCCAAGTTGGGGTATGTATAAAAGTTGAGAATAAAGTTTCTGTAATTAGGAGGATGTAATAGACTGTGTAGTACCCAACAATGCTTTGACGTTTGTGTGTTTGATCGAGTACAACAGAGTGAGCTTAAAAATTAGCTACTCTCAGTAATAGATATAAAACGATCCCAAGCCTTAACAAATTTGTGTATGGTTTTTTTTTTTTCTTTTTCATTCTAAAATGTCAAGTTTGTGATATGACACACAAACATAACAATCTCGAAAACCATTATTCTTGAATATTTTTTTATATTTTAGAGTTCAATAAAAAGTGATCACAAGCATCAGACTGACAGAAATAGACAGTTGTGGCTTCAATAGGAAGAGACTTCAAAAAAAATAAAAAAACCTTCTAAGGTGACCAAAATCTTTAGAAGATTAATTTCAAGTTTAGAGAATTTTAACCCACCTATCTGAATCTCTGTCGGTTTGCAGAAGCTCCTCAACGAGGCTTTTGACCTTGTCATTAAATAGAGCTCTCAATTGTTTTTGCTGCATCATAAAAAACAACCTAGCAATGACTAACAATCTAAACTATGTAGCTACAGTTCTAAAATGGCATCAATGAGAACATTCTAATACCTGTACCAATGTGGCTCGGTACAATGTTGTTCCTCTCAACTCAGCAAGTTCATCTTCCGTAAACCAAAGAGTACTCTCAAAGGTGCTTGGAAGCAAATCAAGGTACCTACCACAAAAACAATCAGAAAATGCATGCTTCAAAGTACCTACACTTGAACCTTAACTTCAGATGAAACATATTTTGTGTGTTCCCAAGCATAGGCGACAAGTATAATGAAAACATGATTCTCGATCTCTCAAGTAGAATCTCTAAGGGCAAAAAGGTAACTTGCGATGGAGGATAGAATCCCTACGGCTTCCACACCGAGTTCGGAAGCACGCGTTCCACCATAAGAAACACCATCATGAGGAAACGGTCGTCGACGTCGCCCTCCTCGAACAAGGCCCTGCATCTCGGCCCAACCAACCGGTCTTGGAGAACCCTCATGGGCGTGATAGCCAAATCGAGCGGAACAACCATGACGATACCTACGAAATCGTTCAAGCTTTAGTGTAAACTCGTTTAAACATGGTCAAACTGACACCAACCACATCGTTCGAGACTAGGGTTTTGCGCGAAAATTCGCGCAGAGCAAATGGGAAATCGAGATGATTACCGTCGCCAATGTTGCCGGTGGTGGCGAAGACGCCGAAGCCCTTGTCGGGTCCACAGTATCGGATGCAGCAGCCTCGCAGCTCCACACTGTTGGCCTACGATTCCGTTCCAAGAAGTGATGTTCGCTACACGGATCAAACGACTCCAGCAAAGAGAAGCACAAAGACCGATGAACGGGGGGGAAGAGAGAGAGACCTGAAGCCATTGGAGGAAGCAGTGAAGCTTAGCTTCTTGTTGGTGGGGAACCGAGGCGGCCATGCCGCTTTGGGAGCTTAGCGAGAGAGGGCTTTAGGGAGATAGTGCTGACACACGATAAGAGATGTGTTATAAAATGCATGAGCACAACTTACCGGCACGAGGGGCGATTTATCATGAAACCCCCCAAGTTTTCAGAAATGTCCAAAGAGTATCAAAAATAAATGTTTGGGCAATTTGGAAAAACCGATAATAATAATAATAATAATAAGCTTTTTTATAATAATAATAAGCTTTCATTCCTCTTTACAATATTTACTGAGGCAGTCCAATGTACTCAAATATCCAAAAAAAGAAAAGAAAAATACCATGAATCTAATGATTCATCCTTCATCAAATTAGACTTAAAAAATCTTAAAATAACAAAAAAAAATAGAGTAATTATGTATATTATGTTTTCCTTCTATTGTGAAAATTTTAAGATGAATTAGATAAATTTTATGGTGTTACACTTATAAACAAGTTAAGTGAAAATTATATGTCAAATTGGACTATGAAAACTTATAAAATTAATAAAAAAATATAAAAAAATAACAGAGTAAATATGTATATAAAAGTGGGATAAGCCCTTCTAATGCCAAATTTGGATTTTTTTTAAGTACACGAGACAAATATAATACAAATATCAACTCTATTGATTTTTTTATTTCAATATAATTTTTGAGAATTTTAAAAAAATAAAATCCCAATATATTCACACTCAAGCCATATAAAATTATACAATAATCTTCACAGGCCAAATGACATACTTCTCCAAAGGGGAAAGATGGATTCTCCATTATGAATGGTTTTTTTCAGTAAATTATCCAAGTATTTAAGTTTTATGCTAACTTTTACACTTTTAAACCCTCAATCTCAACACTTATTTTATCTCTTTTTAAAAATTAAACTTTAATATTGTTCATAATTATTAATACGAGTTATTGGAAAGGTATGGATGGAAGCTTAAAATGTCTTTTATATATATATATATATATATATATATGTTAAGGTCTATTTTAACCATTGTAGTTTTGTTTATGGATCACTTAAGTTCTTATAGTTTATTAGTGTCTAAAATAATCTTTGTATTTTTAAAAACGTAATATATAAATCCTTTCTATCAAGTTTGAGTTAACAAAAATTAAAGTTTGCTTACGTTATATGTTGACTCACAATAAATCATTAATATAATGACACGTATAATTTAAGTTTTAAAAATGATTAAAATTTATCTTGTTAAGGAAGAGAAAGCGATGAAAATCGTAACGATAGATGAAAATGGAAAGGCAAAGGTAGGAGAGGACGAAGGCGAAGGTGATGGAGAGTTAGACCACCACGTCATAGGAGTGATGGATGAGGGTATAGGAGAGAACGACATGGGAGACGGTGAGGATGAAGACGCCCAAGGAGAGAAAAAGGGATCAAGAGACTATCATATGCTTAGCGTCAAACTAGTCGATGCACATCTACCTAAGGTAGTACCAGAAGCTCTTAAGCTCGTTATTAGTGTAGGAGAGGCTATGTGCGTGCGACACCTTGCTAAGTAGCAACGGCTCGGTGCTACTACTGGTGGTCGCTTTCATGACGACGCATTCTCACACCATTGATGGCGGTATTTATTTTTTTAAAATTTAAATTATATGTGTTATTAAATTAATGATTTATCGTTAGTTAACAACATGCTACGTAAGGAAACTCTAACGATTGTAAACTCATACTTGACGAAAGGGGCTTATATGTTATATTTTTAAAAATATAAGAGTTATTTTAGGTACGAATAAATTATAAGAGTTTAAGTGATGGTCAAAACTATAAGGGCTAAAATAGATCTCAACATTAAAATTTTGAGGGGTAAATATTATATTTCTTAACCTTCAAAGGATATATATGTAAGAAGCTATCTGCCTTCGTTTAGGTTTCGAGCCGACCTCTCACCCGACCAAATCAAACCGGCCGTGGTTCATCTCGTTGTTGTTTCCCTTCAGTCTCTCCCGGCTGCCGGAACGAAATCCTTAAGCGGGTGCAAGCGGCGACGATGGGTGGGAAGGGCAAGAAGAGGCGGGAGAAGAACTACCGATCCGCTCACGGCGGGGATACGCGCCTCCCGCCGCCTCCCAGCGTCAAGGAGATGGAGGCCATCCCCTCCAAGCTCCGCAAGATTATGGAGCTCAAGAACCTCAATTCGTCTTCCGCCAAGCCAGGTGGTCGCTTGCTCCCCTTCCCCCTTCCACAAACCTCTGCCGTTCCCCCCAGTCGTTCTTTTAAATACCTCGCCTGTTATTGACGCTTTCAGATGTTTTTAGGGCCTGCGCCAACCCCCAAAGACGCGGGTAAAGAGAAGAGAAAGGAAAGAAGCGCCGTCGAGAAGGTAAACAAAATACGTTTTTGATGATAAAAACGCTTGATTTTGTCTGAGAAATATGGGTAGTTAATTTGAAGCAAGAATATCCTGGTAAAATTCTGGGCTTTCATAACCATCGTAATGCCAAATCCATGAAGCCTACTCAAATCCATAGAAATGGGATAGTCTTATACTGATGTTTTTGTGTATTTTGCTGCCATGCACATAGTTATATTCTTGAAATTATAGCCAGTTTCTTTTGCTCGGCTAAACAATCCGAAACTCCTCGAATTGGTTTTCGTCTGCTGGTTGTAGTATCTTCGTTAGCTCGCATGCAGTTTTTATAATTTTTTGATGTGGTTTGCATTGATTTACTGACACTTGTATCAAATTGATACTAATTCATTGTAATTACAGAAAGTGAACACAAAAGAAGAGCCTTCTTCCGAGTTCAGTTCTGTGACCAAAGAAGGCATCCAGGGAATGAAGGACAAAGATATAGATGACAAAGATGCAACCACGACACCAAGCTTAGGTAACGAGAGAAAAAGGAAACGGAAAAAGAATGCACCCAAGGATCTCCGTTTTCAAGAATTAGATCAAGCTGCTGCTACCACAAGGAAGAAAAAACGCAAAGAGTAAGCTTATTATTTACTTATTTGTTCGATTTTGATGAATATATTGGCTTGTAAGAGGATCTGGAAACTTTCCACAATTACATCCATGATATTTCCTATTAGGTCAAGTTAAGTTGTGGTCTCCAAGCTTTTCTTCATTTTTTGAAACATAAGTGTACCGTTAACTCTTATTGTTTACTCATTAATGATCTTCCTTGAATATATTTTTGAGGATGTGGACAAGAATAGGACTGGTTGCAAGATCACATTTAAGGCACGAGAAATAATTCTTAGGATTAGTTTTGTTTTCGTTGGCTTTTGAAATTTAGCTCCGCTTATGTCCAAAATCTTTTTAGTAAGCCATCACGTTTTGCAACAATGCTGGAAAAGCTATAGTCAACTGTTAACACTCAGTGTTGCGGCTAAAAATTGCTAATGCACTGATCTATTATGCTATTTCTTCTGGAATTCTTGGATTCTAGGATTTAACTCAGTAGTATATTTATGTAAGAATTTTAGAAGTTTTCTGAGTTTTTGTTATAAGGTTTTTAGGATAAGTTACCTTTTAAAATTCTAACCATGATGTATTATATTTGTCATTGAACATGTATTAATTTGTGAAATGCTTGAACTCTGTCTGCCGGATTCTTTTATCAAATGTATATTGACATCCATCAGCATTCAGATCCATGAATTCACAGTTGATAATTATCTGCTCGTCTTTCAACTGGTAATATTCAAACAAAAACAGTAGTTTGAACTTGGAATTTGACATTTATCTACACATTTAACTAGTGAAAAACTCTGCGCTTTGCAGGGTGCATGCCGTTGGTTGAATGAAATAGATTAGTTGTCTGCTGAAGCATGATTAATAGTATAATTTGGTTGTTTCTTTTTCATTTTCTTACTTGGACTTGCATATCACAACTCGAAGAAGGCTGTATTCTCACTCCTTTCTGTTTTTCTTATTTGCTAGGTATCTTGAGGCCAGGAGAAAGAAAAATAAGAAAGCAAAGACAGATGGTGTTGTAGACTTCCCTGGGCGTGAAGAGATCAAGTTTGGCGAAGTTGTTGAGGCTCCACCTAAGTTATCAGTTCCTAAGGTAATATTTTGGAGTTCGATTGTTTCTTTGTGTGTTATCGTGAAATAAACCTGAGATCTAATAGTTTTGGTGATGATTTTTTTTGTGTTTTTGCAGAAGTCTTTAAAGATTCCCCATGATGCTTTTCACGAAAGAATCAGGTTAGAGGCTATTGAAGCTTACAGGAATCAGCGAGGATGGACATCCAGACCCGGTGTCCAAATTCCTGTTCTGCAAAATCCATCGTCGTGACTTGTGACTCAGAGGTTACAGGTGCCTAGGATTTAAGTTGATGCCGTCGAACTTAGCTTCTGGTACTTTTCCGGAGTTGTCACTAACTTTTTCGGAACTTATGCTGTCTGTTTTTGCTGGACCTTCACACAAGCGTGTGCTAATTTTCGCATCTATGGGCAAGCAAGTGTATCTTCAGTTTTTTCTGTTGCTTGTATCGAAAACTCAATATAAGCAAATTGTTCAGATAATTTTCGTCTTTGTTAAATTAATATTATTACTTTGTTCTTATCTGGTCAAAATTTAATGTGTGGTTGGATGAGACATGCAATCTTTCGCCATGGTTTCGGTCTCTGATCTTTCTGATCTTGTAATATGCTCGTTATGGAATTCTGATACCATGCCATATGATTGGGAAAAATGAGTCCTGTCATTTAATTACCTTCTCGATTCCTTTTATCACGTGAATCATGATTTAGAAGCACTAAGTTCTCCGAGGAATGTTACATGATTCGGCTCAATCTGGTTGTTATTGTCCACCATCTTATAAGTCAGCTTAGTATTCATCCAAGAACAGTAAAGAACTGAACAAACACCATGAGGTACTATAAAATTTGCAAAGATCAATTAAAATTTTAAGACGCACAGATTGATCAATTAAAATTTGCAAAGATCTCATCACAAATAACAAAAACACTTAAATCCACAGGGCTGAATGGCGTGGAACAAAATTGGTATAAAACCATCTCAGCCACATGGAGAAGAAAAGAATTGTAGTCAATTATGCTTATTATACCTTTAATCCCTCGATCAAAGAGATGAAAAAAATAAACAGTAAAAATTTCAGATACTGATGTGGTAATGTACCAAACTGTGCACTTTCACTTCCACCTGTTAAATCTGTTAGGACCACCACTACTAGCTTTTCGTCGGCCACGGCCTCCACCGATGAAACCACCACCACCGTTTCTTCTATTTGAACTGCTGTTGCCACCTCTACCACCAGAGAATCTGCCACCGCCAAACCTTCCTCGGCCCGAGTTGCCACCTTTCGACCGATCTGTGTCTTGCAAAGGGGGCAATTTTTCCAGGACCTCAATGGACACCGACTGAGCATTTTCTTGGCCTGCAAGACCAGAAGACAGAAAAGCAACAAAAAGTTTACATCATATATCCACATCAGTCACATGAAACAATGAAAACAGAATACAAGCAGAAGGATGGCAAAGCCACAACAATTGGTGAAGATTATATGTAGTGCAAGGAAGAGCATCGCTGATTAAGAGAAATCCAGAACCAACAATTCTCTTCTATGATTGTTTTAAGTTATAATATGTTCCATGTAACTGTGCTCATTATTGTTTTACAAACTTATATTTTTTTTCACACATGAGTAATAAGCAAAAACTGCGATATTACTCCACATGCAGAAGAGACAAAGAGATGGTGATCCTTACGGCAAAAAGTTTCCTATTAAGTTACTAAACGAATTTAGCCACCACATATGAAGAACTAGCAGCAAAAATCCAGAACCTACAAATTCTCTTCTATGATTCTGTGCATATGTTCCGTGCAACGGTGCTCATTTTTGTTTTAAGAACTTGTATTTGTTTCATACACGAGTTATAACCAAAAACTGATGGTACTCCGCAGGCAGAAGACACGCAGAGAAGGTGAATCTTGGGGCAAAAGTTTCCTATGAAGTTACTAAACGCATTTAGCCACTTCAAATGAAGAATTAGCAGCACAACTGAGAAAAGCTTAAAATGAAAGACCATCAGCATACCTTCAAGAAATGCATTTACATCATCAGCAGGTACATCAAACACTGCACCTGTGCCATCAGCAGTAAGAGAAAGGCCTTTAACACCTTCAATCTTCTCATCAGGCAAGAATCTTCTGAACGTACTAAAAGCAAACCTGACAAAAAATTTATGATCATGTACAAATGAAACTTAAATTAGCAAATTGAAGTACATAACATACATTATCATTAGGATACTACGATACTTTTATCAAATTGGAGACATTATCACTAGAATATTATCATCAAAAGTCAAAACCTATAAACAAAAGAATCTTCATAAAATTCAAACTCAATGAGTATCTTAAAAAACGACAGCACTTACGAAGGTGAATAGATTATCTTTCCTGTCTGAAGAAGTAATGTCACGTAATTCTCCATAGAAGAGAGAAGTGACCTCTTTTTTATGTCAGTGAAACCCTGTTATAGAAGAACATAATGCAACCAAGGATCACCAATTCAGTTCAAGGATTATATAGCTTTTGCAAGCAGAGAGAATTGACTTACAACAGCCTTGGCAAGGGCTTTTGCTAGTAAATCCACTGCTGATAATTCAGAGGAGCTTAACAGCTGCTCTGCTTGTGAACGGAAAATTGGAATAACACTGCATTTTAACCAAATATATGCTTAGGTCAACAGTAAACTATAACATAATTGAGGCATTTCTTAATATGAGATATAGCAGCTTACCTGTCGGAGACATTTGAAATAGCATCAGCTGCTTCAGATCCAGCTGATTCAGCAATATCAGCAGGCTGAGGGGCAGATATATGCTCAAACTTAACACCTGACTCTCTCTCTATTCTAGAAACACTAAACGAGTGTTTGGGTTCATAAAGCAAAATAGCAACACCGGTATTTCCTGAAAGAGGCATCTCTTAGCATCTCATTAACATCGAAAGTCAAGATTGATATGGGAAAGCTTAAAGGTTTACCAGCTCTTCCAGTTCGCCCTGATCGATGAATGTAAGCTTCAACATCATGTGGGGGTTCGCACTGAAAAATTAATCAATGTTCATTACTTATTACGACCAAACATGTGCCTCGGTAATTAATGAAACCACTTCTGGGACACAAAAATGCACCTGTATAATCAACTGCACATCATTTATGTCTAAGCCACGTGCTGCCACATTTGTAGCAACTAAAACTAAAAACCTGCCTGACCTAAATCCAGCAAGTATGACCTGCACGATACCAGGTCCTAATAGATAAACTGACAAAGAAAAACCAACAAACACAATCTGATTCTAAATTAAGTATATGTCTTTGTCATCATTTCTACTTACCTCACGTTGTGCTTGCATTATGTCCCCATGCAAAGCACGTGCACCAGGTAATAACCCAGCAAGTTCAGATGCAGATTCTTTTGTCTCGGTGAAAATGATGGTTCGGCCACCACTACGAAAAAATTCACACATCCTATTTAGGAACCAGGAAAAAGAGAGTAAATAGAAAAATACTTTACTGGTCAAAAAATTACAAACCGGCTATAACAACGGATAATATCGGGAATAAGTTGTGGTCTTGCTGAACGAGTACAAGGAAGAACAAGATGTCTAACATTGGCGCTAGCCTTCAATTTCTCATTGCCAACAAGATCAGCTGTTTTCTTATCTTGCTTTAGAAATCGTGTAGATATCTGGAAGCATTTCAAACGGTCTTAAAAGAAGAAAAAAGAAATTCAAGCATATTATTCATTAAGATCCAAGGTTTCAAATCTTATTTGACTGTTACGTGCCAACTGGCATTGTATGGAATGCTTCATTGTACCCATAATCATCTACTAAAAATTGTTTAGTGTGCCTATAGACTAATATACCAATATAGTATCCTCAACATACCATGGTATTTGAAACCACACTTAGATCCTTTAATGAAATTTGTATGAGAAAGGGGCAAACTAAGAATAAATTTGATCCACAGACCTTCTTTACCCAGTCAGGCAGGGTAGCACTGAAGAGAAGTGTTTGAACTTTGCTAGTATCCTCAACTTTACCTGCAAAACAAGAATAGAAAAAGAACACTGAGTTAACATTAACCAGGTAATGTCAATACACATAATTCATCCATAACTATAATCAGGTACAAGCTGTAGGTCTGGAATCCCAAACTGCAGAGATAAATATCAAGATAAAACCAATGAATCCAATACAGGTGCATATTAGAAAAGAAAAAAAACCCATAGCAATATTGATCAAGCATTTATCTGAACTTGCATTGAGCAACATGAACTTTAACAAGCCTTTCAGATGGTTAACAATAAAACCAACAACAACAAACATTAATAAACAATTTTTGTATCTGATGCAATAAAAAGTTTCCATATGAAAAGATAAAGATCAGCATTAGCCTAGGCATGATTAATTTATATGCAATACCAGAATTGTGACTAACCAACACTGTTGGCAGATCTAACACAACATCTAATTATATTTAAAGTATCATAGAAGTCACTTTTACAACTTATAAAATGCAGGGGTAGATAACCGGTGCAAACATTGTGAAGAGAAGATCCATACCAAGAATTAGTTCCACATCATCGACAAAACCCATATTTAACATTTCATCTGCTTCATCAAGGACACGGAACTTTAAAGCCTTCAGGTCAAGGTTCCCCCTTTCAATGTGATCCTGTAAGGAGGAAAGATGTCTTTACTCGAAACAAAGTTTTAAGAGCCAACAAAGATTATGAAGCCATGCAAGAAAGAAAATAACTTTTATGCGTCCGGGAGTCCCAACAATGATATCAACTCCTCGCCTTAGTGAAATTTCTTGAGTACGGTAAGGGGATCCACCATATAAACAGCATGAAGATAAACCTACTGTCCCACCATAGACCTCAAAGTCTGAATAAACCTGGATTTGGATTTATTTCCATCAAGTTCCAAGATAAAGAAACACCAAAATACTTGCAAATTTATCATAGGCAATAAAAAAACCTAAAGATACCTGATTTGCTAGCTCACGAGTTGGAAGAAGTACCAAAACACTTGGGGGTCTCCCATAACCACTCTTCCTTGATGCCTTATGCACTCCATTGGTCAGTGACTCCAATATAGGCAACACAAAAGCCAAGGTTTTACCCTGCAAATACGGACAGACATAAGATACCATAACTAGGCAATATATATTATTTATAGATATCAGTAAGTATAGTGCAGCAAGTCAGCATGAACATCAGTGATACATAGGAAAAAAATACAATATTTCGTTTTAAAGCATATGAGAATGACAGCAGCAACAACACAATCCTTGGTGCCATTTTTGTAGACACTTGGATCTTTTTGCCCAAATGAATCTGTCGATGACAATATTACTATCCGATTTCACACAAGATAATGCACGAGTTTTTTGGATAGAGTTTGAACCAGGTCACCCAAATCAGATCAGGAAATCAATTAACAAACTACAAATTTGCAGGGATTAGTTTAGAGTTGGCCACAACCAAGAAAGCAAATTCTTGTCAGATGATTCCAACCGAGTTACATATCTGGACATTTCAAGCTAAAACCAAATATATCAGATGGTTTTTGCCAATTTTAGCCCATCAATCTGGGTCAAGGACCAACCTTCCTACAAACCTATCATCATTAGATGCTTCAACAGATATCATATTCTAAATAGTTATTGGATTAATGTGCAACAATATGTTACATCACAAAATCGGAATCTTAGAAAAATGTTCTGTAGGAAACCTCTGAGAATAATCTTCGGATTGCCAATTATGGAACTGACAAATCATGCACTAGTAAAAAGCCTGCTTTTAGATTATAATTAGCTGGAGAATTAAGTACTGGTGTTTCAATCTATTTCAGGGTCTACTAATAAGCAATGTCAAGGCTTATATCTCGCACTATATGATAAAGATCTATACGCACCTGACCAGTCCGTGCTCGACCGACCAAATCAAACCCATCGAGTATGAGATCGAAAGTCATGGCCTGGATGGGGAACAGAGCCTTAATCCCCTTCGAATTCAGAGTCTCCCTCAAGACCTTCGAGATCCTAAAATTGGACAAAGCATTTGGATCATCGGCAGCGTTGTCTGTCTCTCCGTCATCGTCCTTCATCAGCTTCGGCTTCTTCATTGCGCCCCCATTCACTGCCGCTGCTTGCTTCTCGGCGACGGTCGGCTGGGTGGAATCGGCCGTGGTGTCACTTTTTTCGTCATCATCAGAGGCCTTCCTCTTCTTGCCCTTCTTTGCCTTCTTCTCGGACGCCATATCCTCCATGCTGCTGTCGAGCTCGCCGTCCGCATGCTTTTTCTTCTTCTTCTTCTTCCTCTGCTCCCCCTCCTCAGGGGTGCCGTTCTGGAGTTCCTTGGGCTTCAATTTCTTGGTCTCCTCGGAGGAGAGAAGATGGTCGGATAAGACGAGAGAAGGCATGGTGGCGGCGGGTCGTAGCTCTCTGCGGAGGTCGTAGGAAAGGCTGGGCGTGGAGGCGCAGCGACCGGAGCAGGAGTGGAGGGCGAAAGAGTTGAGCGTTTAGGGCTTTATAGGGTTCGATTTGGCAACGACACGAGAAACCCTCGGCTTCGGCACGTGCCGGGGAGGAGAAGGGAAGGCTAATAAGTACTTGCTGCACCGATTTAGTATACGACTGAAGTTACGATACAGTGGAGTCGGAGTCAGCTTGTGGGATCCTAAGTGGTAACTCAAGTCTAAACGTGAAAGAAACACTCGTGCAGGCTGACGCATATATCTTCCAAAACATTGAAGGCGACGAGCGCCTCTGTGATGATTCCTGTCGTCGCATCAATTGCATCCTATCGCTGTTTGACAAAATGCCAAGGCGGGAGCGGATGGTGTAAGAGGCGGTTGAGCGTGGACTATCATGTCGCATCTACATCTGATGCCTAAAGGTTGGTTTGTTTTTCACTCTCCTGCTGCTACGTAGCGAAAGAAGCGTTTTGTCTTCTCGATGGCTTCAGTTATCGCATAAACAGCGCTCTAAAACTGCTCGACGAAATGCCTAGCCGGGTGGGAGCTGCCTGGGATTTGCTGGTGAGTGCTATATCAGGTTTCCAGTGAAGTTAATGGGTGAGACAGTGTCCATAGTTAGGTTGCCCCTCTATGATCTGGTTGCAGGGGTAAGGTTGCGTACGTTGATCTTCCTCACACTAGTGTCATGGAACAATGCAGACAGGGTGTTCGACACTTGTCCATGACGGTTTTCGGTTCCTGTTTTCCACCGTTTTCTTGTAGACAGCTTGTACGGGGCAGAAAACACTATAGTCAACCCCATTTTTGTTTGTTGTCAGTGTTTTTGCTTTGTCTTTATGTCATGTAAAGCTCGAAATGTTTCATAGTGGTATCAGAGCTGCAAATGCCACACTCCATTTGAGTAGCTTTGCTAGTTTCCACATGAGTGCTTGTCCGTTTCTCTGGAACGGCCACACATTTCTGCTGCCTATCTTGTACAGCAGTGTTGGTTTTGCTACACTGCCTTGCCATGGCAATTCAATATTTGCTTTACTCGCTCGATATCACTTTGTCTCGTCTTTAGCAGCGATTGCCTAAGGCGTGTGACACCCAAGCGATATGTGTTTGCAAGGGTCAGTCTAGACCTTAACCTCGTCTAGGTGAAAGGCGAAAGTGCTAGGTGAACATTGGGCCTAAATCTACCTTCAGAACCCCCTTTGTATGTGCTTGTTCAGCCTGTTCTTGAGACCCTTTCAAGCCTAATAAAAGCTGGTTTCTTTGTGTTGCTTGCGATCCCGGTTATCTTGCCCTTTTTGTGTGTGACAGTGGCAAATTACTCACATGTTCGTCTTTCTAACTTTTTCTTCGTTGTGCAAGTCCTCAGTGGACTGCACGAGGTTAAGATGTAGGATAACCCTTGTGAAAGCATATTGCTTGGATGCCATATACTTAGGCAATTCCAGTTAAGGATGTGACACTAGGCTGTCCTTTTTTATGTTATACTTCTCTGTCTTATATGCTATAGTTATTGTCTGTTCAGGCATTGGCATCTCATGATGAAATTTGCTTCCACTAATGCCAAAACCCAAAGGCAGTCACTGTAGTGTTTTACTTGTCCATGTCTGTCAGACTATAGCTACACAAATTAATTTTTGGCATCAACCGCCATTGTCAAGTAAACATGATTAATCATATTACATATTGTATCATCTTGTAGCACATCTAAAGGGAATGCGCTTTTGATCAGACAAGTTTTTATGAGATCTATTCTTTGGCTGAATTTTACAAAAAAAAGAAAGAGAGAAAATTATGAAAATTATCTTTTGAGCCCCTTGTCTGAGTTGGCTATTTGCTGTTGTCACTATGCTTGTACTGAATAGAACTACGTGTGCTACCCCCTGCTTCAAACATCTTTTCCAGTTTAATCACCTGATCTGGAAATTCAGTTTCTCAATGCTGAAGCCAAAAAAAGAAAGGAATAACATAATTACCCCAAAATGAAGGGCCATGATAATTGTGAAATCATTGTCTTGAAAACCAAATAGGTCCTGAACAAACACATTTATTGGCTGATCCAAATTCCCTGGAACATGAATTGGTTTATCTAGATCTCCTAGTTGAGAAAACATCAGACCATAAAGAGTCCATGCTGCAGGATTGACCCAATATAACCATCTCCACCAAACTGGGATCATCTGCTTTAACATAGTCAACATTCTTTCAGTGTAGCATGCTTGTATTCTAAATAAATTATTGCAAGCTAAGAATGTCAAATTTACCTTCCTTGAAATGAAAAAACCAGAGAAGAAACTCCACAAGAGATAAATGAGGAAGGAGACCGAGGAAGCTATTTCTGGAGTTGGTGTGAGTGTTACTGTCATCATCCCATACATTGTGAAGTAGGACAAATTTAAAAGCATGAAGAGCAAGAACCAGAGGAATTTTACTATCGACAACTGGAATCCAATCATTGGATAGAAAATAAATGAAAAGAGGAGCACTTGGAGTATCACAAATGGGGTTTCAACTGCCACCTGCAGATGTTATGATGATATTCATCTATACAGAACTGAAAAAATAAGCAGTGACGTATCTATTACTTAATGTATGCTGATTGGTTTTCTATGAAAAAGTGGTGGACTACTGTGTTTGTTGGTAGAAACAGTATACTGCAGCACATGTATTGCAATGCCTCAGAGGTACCGGGCATGCTTCATGCCCAGTTGTGCCAGAAGTGACAACACATGCCTCAGGCAATTTCTGGCATTTTCCTTGCTAGAAATGTATTATCATACTCATTGTCATGGAATGATGAAACAACAATCCTTGTGTTGGACTTTGAGTTCATGATAAATCGTAAGTTCATAGCAAAATGCTGCAATTTTGAATGGATTGCAGAAATAAGATTACCTGAGCAATAGTGTAAGCCATGGAAGTGTACATTCCAGCTGATCCTTCTCGGTAGAGTACTGTTCTCTCCATCCATACAAGAGGCTGCATCAAAATGGCATTGACAAAACCTTGAAACAATGCTGATGCATACATGACTCTGAAAATGTTGAAAATATCTTGTTCACTAGTACTGTTATTCATTGAAGAAAGAGCAGGGTTAAAAGTATTGACAAAGACATGAAACATTGCTGTTGCTTACATGATTCCCAGTCTGTTGAGAGTATCTTGTTCACTGATGTTGTTGTGCAGTGAAAAAAAAGACTTAAATTCTCAGCTATGGAGGAAATCATTCTGAACTCAAGAAAATATGTTGTTCACTGGTACTATTGTTCAGCCAAGAAAACAGAACTAAAAGTTTCAGCTATGCATGGGGAAGATCATTTTGAACTTACATGTTGGAGCCAATTTTACAAAATACTATGGCAAATAGATTTGAAGTTCCAACTGTAGTCACAAAACGGACGACATTGAATTCTGGATTTTTCCAATATGATTTGTGTAATTTCCACAAGCACGCACTACATTGTGACCCAAAATTCTGCCAATATTCAGATGCGAAGTGCAGATCCTCTGAGTTTGGCCGTATTTTACTCAGCTCACTAACTAGTTCCATGTTTTCTCTGTTAGATCAAGTATAAATTCAGCACCTCATTTTATTCATAAAAAGGGGTGGCACAGTGCAGGAGGCTCCTGCTAATGCAGGATCTGTGGTGGTTTAGTGTGCACAACCTAGAGGCTGTTTCTAAGACTTGAACCCTTGACATCCAGATAGAAAAGATGCAACCTTGTTATGCTGCCAAAGCTCATCTGCTATTCATTTTAAATTTGTGGTCTTTTTACTTGAACCAAGAATTTTGGTTGTGTTACCTGTATAGAGAAGAACTTCGAAAGATCTCTGCATAGTCGATGGACTTATCATATTCCATGGTAAGAGAAGTGATATCTAGCATCCATGTTGCTGGATTTTGGTCTTTTTTTTATTTTAGGAACTCCTGGGATAGCCTGCACAGAAAAGCCTTGGACCTATTCTTATTCTCTTCATTTAAGGAACAAAGATTAATTCAAAATATGTTACCTGAAAATATTGAATCATGATATGAGATAGAGGACCCAGAGGACCACTATAGATAAACTGCCCCCCCCTTTTCATCAGTAGTAACTTCCAGTGGTAGCAAAGGACAAGAATGGTTAAAAAATGCAATTCTGACACTTAATCTGTATGTTTTGCAGTGGTAAATGAACACTATTTGTCTAGGAGCTTTATGATTTCATAGTTATTTAATTTATATGTTGTTAAGATGTCTTCATTTTTCATCTTGTTAATTCATCAAATGTTTGCATTTGTTCTTAGTTGTTCCTTTTCGATATAAAATGTTTGAAAGCAGACTGTGAGATTTTAACTGACTGTCTCTTAAATTTGACTTGCTTGCACGAAATTTAGCTCTCTTTGAAAGGTGAGCCAACATAAGTTTTCCTTTCCAGCTACATAGGGTACTGTTTACAATTGTAAAGATTTGTTACGTAAATGCAAGAATATATAACCAAGTGTCAGTTCATCTATGTTTTAACTAAATCAAATTCCCAAGAAGCGTTCATAATCCAATGACATCTTAACCTAACCAAGATTATAGCTGTGCCATTACATGATTCATGTGCTACATTTACCATAAGCATCACAAGGATGTTCCATGGCTCTCATAGTAATTTAAAAGATCTCAATGTTAGGAGGGCCACCAAAATCCTAGTAGTAGTATTTGCTTTGCAACATGTGTCACATCTACTTTCATAAATTATAATCCATGCAATATTCTAATTTCTGCCTTTGTTCGTAGTCGCTAACCCAATATTAAAGTTTTTGGGTGTATTTTGGCTATAACTTACTTTTGTGGATTTGAAAAAAAATTGGATGCAAGACTTCTTTTGTCACTAATATGTCAAAAAAAAGGATCTGTTGTAGGAAATAAGAGACTACTTTTTCGTTAAATTTGCTTAGAGAAAATAAATTCTTGATAAGAATTCAATTTAGTCTCTTGAGCAAAAAAAAAAAAGTAAATTCTGTACGTCTAATATCGGTTTCCATGTTCTTAGGTTTATGATGCTAATTAATAGATAATCCCTAAACTTTTCTGAGCTAATCATTAGAAGATTCATTAGCCCTCAAGGAGCTGATATTTCAGACACACACATGTGCGCACACGCAAACAAAATACTTGATTAGCCTTCAAAATGCTAAGCAATATTTTCACATCTTATTATTGTTTTTGTTGTTGTTGTAGATTGAAGCAGCAGCACCTGCAAGGTATTGGCGCAGACATTGAACAAGGTTGGAAGAGGTTGTTGGCCTCCATGCTCAAGTTCTCAAAATGCACCTCGACCTTGGGAACTTGAATCCCCAACCTGACCATAAAACATCACTTGGTAAGATTTCTGGATGAGATGGGAGGAATAGGAAACAAAGTCTTCTTTCTCTGTTGTGTTCCTTCTGTTTTCACTATTTCCTCATTCCCTCTCGGAGCAGGAGGAGGAACTCCTCGTTGTCCGCATGGTGAAGGGGGCCTCTTGCCGTTCCATGCTTGTGGATCTCGTCTTCCTTCTGCCACTTCAACTTCGGGTTGTGCTACCAAGTAAGCCTGGTGTTGATGTGCTGTTTTAGCGTGCTCAGATATATAGAGCGGAAGAGCAACGTGAGCAAAGTAGTAGTAGCATGGGAACGGTGTAAAGGTGTATCAGACCTGAATCGGTTCTGGGTCGGAATCGAATCAGGTCGATAGTTCGATGATATCGAATCAGATGAGAAGCGGGGTCATACGGTTCGATTCTGATTTCTAGAAATTAGGATGTAAATCGGTATGGTAGAATCTAAAGCTCTGATTTCAGTTCTTAGTGGAAAGGACTCTGTTCCACACCCACTGTCTCTATTCATAGTCTCAACGCAGCAGTAGTTGATTCGATTGTTCATCCATGTGGGTGACATAGACACGAGGGAATTGAACGTGGCAAGGAAAGACACGAGGGACCAACCCAGGGTAAGAACAGGAGCCTATTACAGTCCTTTTCAATCAAATGAACCATTAATGGTTTGGTTTGTCATCAGCGTAATGCTTTCTTACATTGGTGGAGAAAGTGACACTACAATATTTGAAGCAAAGAGATTTGACTCTGATCTTTCACGTGTGTTGACGGCAATCGATTGGTTAACATGTCAATACACCGTCGACGCAAAATACATGGAAAGCCCAAATGGCCCATAAACTGCTGTTAGGCCCAATTGACGGTTTTTTTTTGGACCACAATCTAACCGACGAAGATCGGCAAAGAAGATGGCCCGTAACTATAGATAGGCCCAATTAGTTAGGATTATCGTGGGCCCCACCAATCTAACCGACAGATTTCGGCAACAGAACTTGGTGAAATCGGGCGGGAAGGAATAGAGAGAGAGAGAGAGAGACAGAGAGGCGAGGGGGGGGTGGTGGTGGTGGGAATGGCGATGCTCCGGATCTGGTGCGTGTCAGATCGACCGCGTACAGGGCGGCCGCGGTCTCATAGCCCTTTCCTCTCCTCTATTCTTGCTCTTTTAAGGTTCCCTTCGGGTCGAAGTCTACCTATATCGCGAGGTAGGGTGATCCGCTCGAACCGATCAGGGAAGAGAATCGTCATTTGTCTTACTCGCATCTGGTTGTTGCAGGGGAGCCTGTGCTTTCCATCAAGAATCGGAGATCTTTGCAGCTGTTGTTGATGAAGAACACCCGAGGGCAGGCGGCCGCTGTTCGGGCGAAGTTTGGGGCTGTTCATCCCCTGTACATGCCCGTGTGATCAAAATCCGGTATCAAGCTCCTTCCCTTGTTCATTTATTTGCCCTTCTTTCTCGTACTATAATGGTCGGACGCGTGAAATTAATGCGTGCAATTTGACTGTAGTTTTTCCTTGTTCTTAGTGTATAGATCGAGAGCCAAGTGAATGATAAGGTTTGCTATGCTTGGGAAATTTAGTGATATCATGATTGATCTCTTTATGGACTGAAATTATTCTCTTTAGTCTATGTGCTTGATGAAGTTACTGGAATACGTTGGAACATAGATCAATTTGGTAATAGATTTCTCTTGATGAAATTTTAATGACCTACTTGTTCAGCCTTGGGAGATGGTTTTCTGGCATTCTTTTGTCATGGACTGAGCGTTTTCACTAAGTTGTGTAGCATTCCCTCACTCCACCTACTAGTAAGAAGTCACTCTATAATATGACCTTGTAAAACAAAAGAAGACTAGTTGATGAGCAAACTATCACGTATGTGTGTTGTCCAAGGATACTAGAACATGGATTGCATAGGTAACACAAAGGTAACTGATAGCTTTACTAGACCATAAATGACGATCACAAACCACGCATGTGGATCCGGCTAGCTTGATATGTCTTCTAAAACTTCTCTTTTGGAGAATAGCACTAGTGAAATTTGAAAAGTGGGAAGAGTTGTTATACTAGGGCTTAACCTGACTGAATATGTAATGCATCACCATGGTTAGTTCCTATCTTATTTGTGAAAAAAAATAGTAATCTATAAGATTCTGCACTGACTATAGCCGGTTATATAGCTACTTCCAGTGCCAATCAATATCCCGACTCCAATTTGTGTTATTTGATCAATTAGGAGTGTATTCTTATAGAAAAAAATTGAGGTAAGCATATGTTATGTTGATAAATAAATCTGAGGAAATTATTTAGAACTGTAATCCTCAAAATATATTTATACATTATGAGTGATGATACTCTTTGAATCAAAAATGCCTCAACTACTTTTGTGAACCTGTTGAGCGGAGAATTCTTATCATTTTTGTATAATTTTGTGACTAACGTAAGTCATCGTGTGGAAACCAAATTAGAACTATGTTAGGAGATTAGAGAGACAAAATTAATTGGGATTGCATGAGATTTGGGTTAAGAAGTCAGATTTTGGTACATTTTATTTCTCGAGAGGTTATATTGTATAATCTTGAGAAATTCGATAGGAGAGTGGTACTATCATATGCTCAGAAGCTTCTTAGGATTCGCTGAACATAAAAAATAAGTTTTTTTTGTCATTTTTCAATATACTGTGACAACATGAAAATAATTAGACATAAGTGTGAGAAACTTTGATAAGAGTGGATACCATTATCTTAGGTCCAATTTGAGGCCTTAAGACTTGCTCTTGTTTATCATTTCCTTGAACTTGTAGGGTATGCCCTATCATCCTCTCTCTCACCTCCCATTTCTAGCAATCATCTTTTTAGTCTCTATTTTGATGAATCACATTAATGAGCATTGGGGATTATCATCAATCAAACTGTCAAGAAAGATTATTAATGAATTCCTGTTCAATTATTTTGAATAAAATCCTTAGATTATAATTATTTCAAGTGTTGTTTTAAATAGCTCTCAATCTAGTGTGTGTGGTTAAAACGTATCAGATATGTCAAACTACTGTGTTAAGAGAGACCTTTCACTCATGCTACTTGATATGCATGATCCATGATAACTATCCAAATGAACAGTTAGAAACTGGCTCTAGCTCCAGAAATCTGATCTAGGCTTTTTTGTCTTTTGCATATAGTATCTTGCTCCAACAAGATTGGTAGCATTCAGTATTGAACTACAGCATGAGTTGGACTTGGAAAGTGTTGCTCTTTGATAAACAGATCACCTCTTCCCCTGAAGATTGCTGGGAAATGTAATTACTAATCGGTTTCCCGTCATTTGTAAGTAAAGCATTAACTGCACTTTTGATAATTATCAGAAATGCAAACTGTCTTGGGTCACTTCAAGCATAGCAAGCAATCCTTGAACTGCCATACTTGACTGATGCAATTTTTATTTGGTTTCATTTTTTTTACCTTTGTATTGTAAGATAAACATTTCGACTGTGTTAAATTATACTGACAGACAAAAAAAAGGGGGGTTTGGCAATTCTAGAGAGGTCGACATCCAAACATGGGCCCGTTACCTTCCACCGATGAAAAATGCAAATGAGCCACCCGTGCCCGACATCTCTTTTCTGGTAGGTAGAAAGTTTATTTATTTATTTATTTTACTTTTGGCTCCTTTTGAACGAAAGAAATTTGTTGGGAAGCAAGTCTGCAACTTGCAACTTCCATCCGTTTCTTATTCTTTCTTTGGTATTTTTTGTCATCGGTCTCTCTTCACTCGGGTAAACTTGCATATCTTCATCAAAGCTTCCGCAACTGTCAACCTATACCTGCAAACCATGTACTCGGCCTACTTGTGAACAGTATCGTATATCGTACAAAGTCTTGTCTTTAAAAACGCGTCGCATGGAGATCGAGCAGCTGACACAGAGGAGATGGGCGCCGAGTTCAACAAGTCCAGTCTGAGCCGTGCGGCCAGCTTCCTCAACTCCGCAGTGGGCTTCCTGGTGTTCTCCTTCCTCGACGTCCTCGACGCGATCCTCTGCGTCGTCTACAAGCTCGTGGACTCCGCCATGGAGACCGACTCGAGGCCGTGCTACTGCTCCCCGGAGGAGGTCACCATCAGCGGCGACTTCCTCGTATCAGCGACGAAAGGCCGCACCGTTGTTCCAGTGGCTGCCAAGCTCCGGTTGGGGGATGTATCTGACACCCTTTACTATCGCCCGTCCCAAGTTGCTGAGCTCACTGAGAAGGCCGCCATTGCCGTGGGCTATAAGACCAGCAAATCGATTCGATTCACTGTGAGCTCTGACGTCATCGGGGCGCTCAAGGAGAAGACCAGTCGCGGACGACGGCCGCTGTGGTCCGACTGCGACTGCAAGAAATGCAATTCTCCGGAATCTCACCTATATGTTCATGTCGAAGGACCCAAAGGTATTTAATTACTGCATTTGGGTGTATATTCTTGAAGCACTGATCAGAAAAATATTCCGATGGAATACGACAGACACATCTACGACGACGACGGACGTCATTTTCATTCATGGATTCATATCGTCGTCGGCGTTCTGGACGGAGACGGTGTTTCCGGAGTTCTCAGACGCGACCAAGTCGAACCATCGGATGTTCGCGGTGGACCTGCTGGGGTTTGGCCGGAGCCCGAAGCCGGCGGACTCGCTGTACACGCTGCGGGAGCAGGTGGACATGATCGAGAAGTCGATCCTGAAGCGGCACAACGTTCGGTCCTTCCACATCGTTGCCCACTCCATGGGGTGCATCATCGCGTTGGCGCTGGCGGTCGAGCACCCAGAGGCGGTCAAGTCGCTTGCATTGATCGCTCCGGTAAGTCCAGGGTGTCGATCAATGAGTAGAGGATGGAGTAGGGTTTGTCCATGGCGTTCATTTAATGAAGGTGGGGTTTGGTGCAGCCATACTTTCCGGTGCCCGAAGGGGAGAAGGCGGCGCAGTTCGTGATGCGGCAGGTGGCGCCGAAGAAGCTGTGGCCGCCAATAATGTTTGGGGCGTCGATGTCGTGCTGGTACGAGCACGTGAGCAGGACGATTTGCCTGTTAATCTGCAGAAATCACCGGTTGTGGGAATTCCTCTTCAGACTCATCACTCGGAACAGGTAAAATCTACACCATGATCTGCAGCTGAACTGCCTCTTCTTTCTACTATGTTAGTGATCCATCTCTTTCCTATTGCATGCTACTTTTCTTACCTCTTCATTCAATGTTAGTGATCTATCTCTTTCGTGTTGCATGCTGCTTTTCTAGTTAGCTGATTGTGTGCAATGTGGTAAGGCTCCCAAAAGATTAAAAAACACAAATTAACACAAGACAACACAGAAGAGAAATTTTAATACCATCTAATTCGAAATATCCCATTTCACTGTGTCAACTCCTACAATTCGATGCTTTAAACTGTTGCGCTTATGTCATACATTCTTCCTTGTTATGTATTCTTTTTCTCGACGCTATTTGGACTGCATAGCTAACAGACAGATACTATTAGTACTAAGTTGAGGTCTTTGCACTTTCAATTCCTGTTTCAACATTGACAAAAGCATATCTCCCTTTAGTTCCTACTAGAAAATAAATAAATAAATAAAACTCTTACTAAACCAAAGTTTGATTCGTCTTCACCATCATTTTCTAATTAAACTTTGAAAAAAATAATTGCATGCAATAATACCATGAATATTATCACTGTTGTTCCAATATGCATTATGAAGAATTCTTTATGCTCTATTAGAATTGTATGTAAGTTGTTTAATTGTTTACCTTTCCACCGTTGTCTTTTATTTCTTTCGGATATATGTATACATATATATATATGTATACATATATATATAAAACCCTTAGGTTTTCATTATTTCTCGTGCAGAGTCCTTAAAAAAAAAAAGATGAGATTACCTAATCCTATTGTGATTGTCTCCAATTCACGAGGTCCTATCGTCCCCCTCTTCGTTGTCATCTTATCGTACTACTATCTCTCTCTATCATTCTCAGTCCCATCATTCCCATAATAGAATATCATAAATGGTTATGGGGGCGATTGAGAGAAAAGAATTGGGATGATAAAACCTCTCAAAGATAGATGAGAAGATTGCTTAGAACGAAAGTGATCATGATGGGATGGAGTGATAGAATAATCTCATCCTTTAAAAAAAGAAAAAATACTTTGCAAAGATGTTAGTTAATGTGCTTCAACAAATATATA